CTGAGAATGCCGTGAATGGGCCGGGCGGTGCAGGGGGCACCCGGCCGCAGAGGAGGGGAAAGAGGGAACGATATGGGGACTGGAGAGGCCAGGCCGGTGCCGGCTGCCCACGCGGGCAGCTCTCAGGGACCAGCTTCCTGCAAATGCGGACACAGTGTAGTGAGGCCGGCGCCCTCTCTGGCAGGGGCAGGGAGACTTCTCCATAAACTGCAGCCACTTGTGATGGAACTTCATCCCGACCCACCAGGCTGGCTGGCTGCGGGGACGCCCTGATAATTACAGCCATTTGATGGTCACAGAAGCTGGCCTCAGAGAGGACGTGGGTGCTCAGGTAAGGAAGGGCCTGGACCCAGGTAGGGCCACTCAGCGGTTAAGGCTGGGCCAGGGAGTCCCACCTGGCCTCTCTCTTTGTAGACGGGCTCTAGAGGCTTTGCTCATTAGCTGGCTCTGCGGTCTTTGAGCCTTCTTTTCCCCAGCTGGGAACTGGGAGGCTCCCCCTCCCTGATGCCCAAGAGCAGGGGTTCAATCAAAACACTGGGGAGCCGCCCCCGGCCCCCCCCCCCCCTGGATAATTACAGATGATTCCAGCAGTTGTGAGTCTAGGAGTCTTTTTAAAGTTGAAAGGAGCCAGGGCCGGGCGTCAGCTCAAAGGGTCAGCTCAAAGGATGGGTGTAGCTGTGTACCCAGGAAGAGGGCTCTGTGCCCCCCGCTTTGAACACCGTCAGCGGTGGCCCCCCCAAAGCCAGCCACAGTCACTTCAAGAATACATGCAACCGAGGGGGCTGGAAAGAGAGCACATGGGTAGGGCGTTTGCCTTGCATGCGGCCGACCCGGGTTCGATTCCCAGCATCCCATAGGGTCCCCTGAGCACCGCCAGGAGTAACTCCTGAGTGCAGAGCCAGGAGGAACCCCTGTGCATCGCCAGGTGTGACCCAAAAGCCATACAACCGAGGGGCTGGAAGGAGAAAGGAGAAAGCACAGCCTGGAGGGCGTTTGACTTGCTCACAGCCAAGCCGGGTTCGATCCCCGGCACCGTATAAGGTCCCCCCAGCACCACTAAGAATAGTTCCTGAGTGCAGAGCCAGGAGGAACCCCTGCCTGCACATCGCCGGTGTGGCCCCAGAACACAGAATCACATGGGTAGGACATATGCAAGGTGTTACTTCTTGGGTACCACTTGGATCCAGAGTCCAGCGAGTATCCATCTCGTTGTCTTCTCGCTCTCCGGGCCCGTGGACCCTGACCGAGGGTCGACACTTGAAGTGCATGGGGGCGGGGGCGGCGGGCGCCAGGCGTCAGGGCCCGGGAGACCCGGCGTGCAGGGACAAGTGCCCGTGGCTCGTCTCTCTCACACCCGGGCACGCACAATCCCCCCACCTGCAGCGCGCACGGCCCAGGCGCCCCCCGCCGCCCCCCGCGCCCCGACGCAGGCAGAGCCGCGGCCCCCCGGCCTTGCCGCCCTCCAGGGTCTCCCCGGGGACCGCGCCGCGGCAGACCCTTCCCCCCGCGAGGCCCCGCGCCCACCTCGCACCGCGCCCCGGCTCCCCCTCGCGGTGCCGCAGTCCCCGCGCCCCGCCCCGCGCCGTGACGTCACCCGCGCAGGGGTGGGGCGGGCCGCGCCGCGCGCTTAAAAGCGGGGCTGGGGGCGCCGCGGGCACTCGCTGCTCGCGACCCGGCCCCGCGCTCAGCTCCCTCCCCGCTCCGCAGCCGCCACCATGCGCGAGATTGTGCACATCCAGGCGGGCCAGTGCGGCAACCAGATCGGCGCCAAGGTGGGCGCGGAGCAGGGGGGATGACCGGCCCGGGGATGCTTAGGGGGAGGGGCGCGGCCCCAGCATCCTGGAGGGGCGGGGGATGACGGGCCCCGGGGATGCTTAGGGGGAGGGGCGCGGCCCCAGCATCCTGGAGGGGCGGGGGGGGGGGGGAATGACGGGCCCCGGGGATGCTTGTGGGGGGGATGACGGCCCCGGGGATGCAGGCGGGGGAGGGGTGGAATGACGGGCCCCGGGGATGCTTAGGGGGAGGGGGATAACGGGGCCCGGGGATGCTTAGGGCGGGTTTGCGTCCCCACCATCCTGGCGGTGCGGGGGGCAAGACGGGCCCAGGGATGCTTAGGGGGAGGGGCGCGGCCCCAGCATCCTGGCGGGGCGGGGGATGAGGGACCCCGGGGATGCGGGCGGGGGAGGGGTGGAATGACGGTCCCCAGGGATGCTTAGCGGGGATGGGGGATGGCGGGCCCCGGGGATGCTGAGGGGCAGAGGGGGGATAACGGGCCCTTGGGGATGCGTAGGGCGGGGGTGCGTCCGCAGCATCCTGGCGGGGCGGGGGGATAACGGGCCCGGGGCCGGGGGATGCTGGCGAGGGCGCGGCACGGTGGGTCCTCAGCATCCTGGCGGGGCGGGGGGGGGGGATGATGGGCCCCCGGGATGCTGGCGGGGGAGGGGCGCGTCCTGGCGCCGGGAGAGGGTGCGGGGAGGAGGGTGGGTGGTGCGCAGGGCGCCCCCACTGCGCAGGAGCCCCCAACCCGCAGGGCTCTGCTCGCCGCCTTGACGCCGCCCCGCCCCCACCCCCGCCGTCTGGAGCAGCCCCTGGACCGGGCCGGGGGCGCGTGGAGGCTCCGCCGGCGGCTGCAGTGGAAAGTGCCGCGTCACGAGAGCCGGGGCCAAGGCAAGGCCCGTCCGGACCGGACCGGGGGCGGCGGGACGTGGGCGCCTCGGAATCGCCGTGCGGCCCCTGGGTGCCCGCGCCCCGCCCCGGCTCCCTCGGGCGGCGGCCACGCCCTTCTCCCACGGGGACTCGGGGGTCTGGAAGCCGCCCCCGGGTGGGGTCCTCCCGGCTCTCCCCGCGGCCCAGACCCGCCCGGCAAGTGGACCCTCAGCCCGGCCTGGGGTCCGCTCCCGGCTCCTCCCCGGGCCGCGTGCGCTGCGCGCCCCCTGCCCCTGCGCGCCCCCTGCCCCCGCGCGCCGTCTCGCGCGTCCCTGGCGCGTCCCCGGCGCGTCCCCGGGGCGGGGGCTGCAGCTGCTGCCACTAGCCCCACTGCGATGGCACCGCCGTGCCGTGCCGGTCCCCAAGGACAGGGCGGGCGAGGGGCCTTTGCGAGGCGCTTTTCCTCTCCCGGCTTTGCAGTTCTGGGAGGTCATCAGTGACGAGCACGGCATCGACCCCACGGGCAGTTACCATGGCGATAGCGAGCTGCAATTGGAGCGGATCAACGTGTACTACAATGAGGCTGCAGGTGAGGGTCGCGAGGGCCGTCCTGCTGCCCACCCTGCCCGGTCACCCCCCAGCGCGCGAGGCTTGTCCCGACCTCACTCTCACCAGCTCTGTGCCTGCAGGGAACAAGTATGTGCCCAGGGCCATCCTGGTGGACCTGGAGCCCGGCACCATGGACTCGGTCAGGTCAGGACCCTTCGGCCAGATCTTCAGGCCTGACAACTTCGTGTTTGGTACGTAGAGAACCGTACAGAACCGGGGTGGACGGCTGGGCAGGGACAGTCTAAACCCTGTCCTTCATCTGCCGGGTGTCTGGGCTGCCTCTGAGGTTTCGTTGACTGGATTCAGTTCTTAAACTGTGGCACCCGTTCCTGTTCAGTGAATCCCTCCACCCACGCCCGCCTTTCACCCGAGCCAGACCCCCCATGGAGCTGAAGGCCGCTAGCATCCTTCCCAGGGGGCCAGAGGCTGATGGGCGGCAGCCGCTGCAGACCCAGGGAACCGAGGGGAAATGAGGGCACCTGCCAAACGCGGGCCTTCCCGTCTCATGATCTCCCTCCCCCTGGCAGGCCAGAGCGGCGCCGGCAATAACTGGGCCAAGGGCCACTACACGGAGGGCGCGGAGCTGGTGGACTCGGTCCTGGATGTCGTGAGGAAGGAGTCGGAGAGCTGCGACTGCCTGCAGGGCTTCCAGCTCACACACTCGCTGGGCGGGGGCACGGGCTCGGGCATGGGCACGCTGCTCATCAGCAAGATCCGCGAGGAGTACCCCGACCGCATCATGAACACCTTCAGCGTCATGCCCTCGCCCAAGGTGTCGGACACGGTGGTGGAGCCCTACAACGCCACCCTGTCGGTGCACCAGCTGGTGGAGAACACGGACGAGACCTACTCCATCGACAACGAGGCGCTGTACGACATCTGCTTCCGCACCCTCAAGCTCACCACGCCCACCTACGGCGACCTCAACCACCTGGTGTCGGCCACCATGAGCGGCGTCACCACCTGCCTGCGCTTCCCCGGGCAGCTCAACGCCGACCTGCGCAAGCTGGCCGTGAACATGGTGCCCTTCCCGCGCCTGCACTTCTTCATGCCCGGCTTCGCGCCCCTCACCAGCCGGGGCAGCCAGCAGTACCGCGCCCTGACGGTGCCCGAGCTCACCCAGCAGATGTTCGACTCCAAGAACATGATGGCCGCGTGCGACCCGCGCCACGGCCGCTACCTGACCGTGGCCGCCATCTTCCGCGGCCGCATGTCCATGAAGGAGGTGGACGAGCAGATGCTGAACGTGCAGAACAAGAACAGCAGCTACTTCGTCGAGTGGATCCCCAACAACGTGAAGACGGCCGTGTGCGACATCCCGCCGCGGGGGCTCAAGATGTCGGCCACCTTCATCGGCAACTCCACGGCCATCCAGGAGCTGTTCAAGCGCATCTCGGAGCAGTTCACGGCCATGTTCCGCCGCAAGGCCTTCCTGCACTGGTACACGGGCGAGGGCATGGACGAGATGGAGTTCACCGAGGCCGAGAGCAACATGAACGACCTGGTGTCCGAGTACCAGCAGTACCAGGACGCCACGGCCGACGAGCAGGGCGAGTTCGAGGAGGAGGAGGGCGAGGAGGAGGCCTGAGCAGCCCCACGCGCGCGTGCCCGTGAGTGAACTGCGGCCGGCCTCCCGCAAGCATGGTCTGTGTCCACTATGGTGCTGTTCTGCCTGTCAGTGTTCATGTGAAGTCTCGGTGTTGTCTCTCCGCATATCTGAATAAAGCACGTTTTAAACCTTATCTCTCGGAACAGAAATAAAATTTATTGTAAGTGAAAAATAAAAGCAGCATGAGAAGTGGTTTTTTTTTATGGGGGGGGGAAGGGGGTCGTGTCGTTTCATCAGGATTGGATTTCGACGCTAATGTGCTTGAATAGAGAACGTGACTTCCCCCTGTAGCTCGGCCCGAAGTATTGAGAACATCGGGGAGGGTGCTGGGGGTGGAGGGGGTCTCCCTCCTTTGTGGGTGCGGCGGTTACCCCGGGACTGCGCTCTCTGTGTCCCATTCGGGGCCCCTGGGCTCAGGCGACTGACGCGCTCTGCCCACGGAGGCGCCCTGCCCTTCTCGGCTCCCTCCCGGAGCAGCACCTGGGAACCGAGGTTTCCTCCCCTGAAGCCCATCTAGGAAGGGACTCACTAAGACAAGGCTGGAAACCTCTCACGGAATGGTTTGAAGAATGACTGATTTTGTTTCGACCTCTGGAGCAGCCCGGCGGTGCTCTGGGCTCACTCCTGGCTCTGCACTCAGAGCTCACCACGCCCGGGTGAGGCTCGTGCCGCAGATGGAACCCGGCACGGGCTGGGTGTGCTGTCTCCGGCCCCTCACCTGCAACTAGCGCTCACGGCTGGAAGGGCCAGGTGGGAACTGAGTGTGTGATGGGAGGAGGAGGGTGGGCGGAGAGGTGTGGGAGGAGCCCTTCACTGCAGGAAGTCTTCCACCAGCTTGTTGAATTCATCTGCGAAACGTAAATGCAGGTTGTGCTTCCCTTCTGGGATCAGATGCAACCTTAAAAAAAAAAAAAGAAAAAATAGATGGAGTGATAGCACAGTGGATGGGGGTAGGGCATTTGCTTTGCATGTGGGCTGACCGGGGTTCGATTCCCAGCATCCCATATGGTCCCCTGAGCACCTCCAGGAGTAATTCCTGAGTGCAGAGCCAGGAGGAACCCCTGAGCATTGCCGGGTGTGATGCCCCCCCAAAAAGAAAAATAAGACGGTGTCTTTGGCTGGGGTTGAAGAGTTGTGGGGTTCAGGCACGCTTGCCATGCATGTAGCCGACACTGTGGGTCCCTGGCATAGCTTAGGGTCCCCCAAGCACCGTCAGGGGTGGCTCCTTGCCACAAAGCCAGGGGAGAGCCCCCAGAGTTTCCTTCCAGCCGTGACCCAGCACCCAACCCCTAAAACAAGCTTCATCCTGAAACCTGGGCTGCCCTGGGGTCATCGCGACCAAGGCACACACTGTCCCACGCTGTCCCCACACGGCCTGTGGGAGGGCAGCTGGCCCCGACCAGCTGCGGCCTCCTGCTGGTACCGGCCCTTGCAGAGCTGGGCTGGCGGCAACGGGAAAGGCCGATAATGAGTGGCCGTGCCAGCCTGGCTGAGGGCGGGATGGGCTGGTCACCTTTAAACTCCAGGCCTCGGGGTTCCTGGCACCGTCCCCCCACCCCCACCAGGCCTGCAAGCATCATCCCTGGGCAGCCCTAGTCTGCCACTCCCCGCCAGCAGCTCTGATGAGCTGGCCTTCGAGAGTGACAGCTGGAAAGAGACAAAGACCAGGGGTGCCCGCAGCCCGCAGGGCGGGGCCAGGGGCACAGGCGGGGCATCTCTGGGGCGGGCAGGGCCCCTGAGAATCCCCAGGCGAGCGCGTGCTGTCCCGGGCCGCCTAGGCGGTGAGGGCGTGCGCATCCCCTGACCCACAGGCCCAGGGAGCACCTAAGCCTTCCTCACCCTGTTTTTTTTTGGGGGAGGGTGTTTTGTCTGGAGTCACACCCAGCAGCGCTCAAGGGTCACCCTGTGTGAGTTTACAAAATAAAACGTGGGGGGCTGCTGGGAAGACGGGTGTGCACCCCGTGGCCCACAGACGCCTCCCCACCTCCCCAGGTCCCCCCAACAGAGAGACACAGAGAGACAGGGAGACGGGGAGACGGGGACCACAGCCTGATGGTGAAGTGGCCCGTTTAATGCGGGGCTGCGAGCGTGCTGACAGAGCATCTGAGGGGGCTTGAGGTAAGGACCCAGGTGTGACCGATTATTTATACCGGTAAGACATCTGGAAACTTACATAGATCGCTTACATAGATGAAACATAGGAAACTCTCTTTTGGGGAGACTGACGCAAGGAGACGGTCTCCCAGAGACAGCGACATTGCTTTTCGCTTTCCCTTTAGTTGCATATTATCAATACTTGGAGTTGTTTGGGTAAACACAGTAAGAGACGAAGGGCCCAGCACTTGGTTCTCTGAGCCAGCCAGTCTGTTACCGTAAATCCCAGACCAAGTCCCCAGGCCAGTTCAGCTCGGCCTTCCCCAAGGGGGTCCTGTCTCTCGTAAGTCATAACGGCTTGCATCAAGACCATGCATTTGTGATTCCTAGACGGCCCCATTTCAATGACAGGATGGCTTTGCCGCTTCGCTCTGGGTCCATCCCAGTCACACGGCAGGACCTCCCTTCGGTGGTGTTAGGAACTAGAGCAACTGAAGCCTGAGTCGAGTAATTATGACGGGTGCCCTGGAGTAGGCATATTTCAGAGTCAATCAACTCCCAACTAGTAGCGCAGAGCATTGATGGTCTTTCTGTGCTTAACCAAAGAACACTGCTCCCGAGTAAATTATAAAAAGGTTATAGGGGAAATAAAAAAAATAAAAAAAAAAGCAGGTACCAATACACAGCACTTCAAATACAAGGCAGTACAAATACAGAGTTCAGAATTACCAAAGAGTTTTGGCGTGTAAGTAACCAAGACTGACTTGGGGAACTGTGACGTGAGAGAACAACCCAAAGGAAAGGTGAAAGATAGGCTTGATCTAAATCAGGGATGCCAGCAAGGACACGGTAAGCTTCTCTGGGAGGAGGAAAAGGGGTGATTCACTGACGAAAACACTTAGGGTCAATATGCAACACCCCGGGCGGGGCTGGGGGCCATACCCGGTGCTGGGGATTAAACCAGGTTCATCACTGCAGCCCCAACCATTTGTTGGTTCTGCTCTGGGGTCACACCCGGCAATGCTCAGGGCTTACTGGTGGTGCTCAGGGGACCAAATAGGATGCCGGGGCTCGAACCCGGGTTGGCCACTCCAGGCGGGCCCCCAAACTGTATTTTTTAAAAAAGTGAAGAAGGGAAATGTTCCCCACAGACGCTCTTCCTGGGAAGAAGTGGGGGGCCCGGAGGGGGGCTGGTTCCCAGAACAAGCAGATGTTCAAGTCTCAGCCAGGCGGGGACGGAGTGGGGGAGGGGAACAAAGCCTGTGACACCCCAGCTGTCCCTCTCGCTCCTGTCTGGGCACCAAAGCACAGGTGGACAGGCCGAGCGCATAACACGGCTCTGCAAACTCTGTCCCTGGCCACCCCTGGGGCCCAGAAGCCTCTAGCAGCCCAGGAATAGAAAATAAGTTTGAGTCAGACATCTGGGGGACACTGGGACAATGGTGGCTTTACTCTGGGGTAGGGGGTGGGCTGGAATGTTCTCTGTGGGAGTCCCTCCCAGCAGTGGCCCTGGCCAACAATGGTGCTGGACCAAAAAAAAAAAATTTTTTTTTTAAGTGAAGCAAGATAGGTTTTGTTGAATGAAGCAGAGTAAGGGTGGGTGAAGGAAAAAAGGAAGGAAGGCGTTGTGTCAGAGGGCGCGTGAGTTTGAAGAGCAAGCCACCGCTGGGAGCTTTAACACAGTTCCTCCCAACGTTCTTTCCCTCCAGCCGGGTGGGGGCTGTGAGTGGGGTCTCGGGGTCACATGCAGACCCAGGCCCCAGGCGTGACCCCTGAGCACGCCCGGGGTGGTCCCCAAGCCAAAACAAAACGTATCAAAACACCCCACGGAAACAACAGTTAGTCCGGGAAAAGGAGAGTTCACCCAGGCAGAGGCTCCCCGAGCAGGGCCCCTCGCGACCTCCTCCCTCAGACCTCCTCCCTCACGCTGGTCTTCTCGTAACCCCTCTGGCACGTCTCCTTCGTTTGGTTCTGGGGTCCCACTCAGTGGTGCGCAGAGGGGCCACTCCTGGCAGTGCCCAGGAGACCATGCAGGGCTGGAGGGGCTGAATGCGGGCGAGCCGTGGGGACGGCAGAGAGGCAAAGGCCGCAGTGCCGTGCCCTCTCCTGCAGCCTCGGGGCCTTGGCCTTCTGCATGGGGGTGGGGGGGGGCTCCTCGCCAAAGAGCTTGGGGTGTGCATGTCACAGGGCTGCATCCACCTGCTCTGGGCTGGCCTTCATCTCTGTTATCTCTGGGCTTGGAGAGGCCAGCAGGTGGGCACTGGCCCTGGGCACAGGGTTCGTGTGTGCTGTGGCCCCAGGGCCTGGCTAGCCCCACCCGTCTGACAGCCAGTGTGCCTGCTGCCGTGTGAGGGGGAGTCTGGGGGCTGCTGTCTGCGAGTCCCTTTACTCAACCGCCAGACTCGATGGCCACACAGGCCTCTTGGATTCCAGCAGCTCCTGCATGTTCCCCCAGAGACAGAAATTTGGCCTCGGGCCTGGTCCCCTCCCTGCAGCGAGAAATGCGTCTTCTGCATGGACGGTCCATCTGCTGGGCAAGGCTGGACAGACACTGTCTATTCTTTGGTGGGGAGGGGGGTGGCACACCCAGCAGTGCTCTGGGCTTCCTCCTGGCTCTGCACTCGGGGTCACTCCTGGAGAGGCTGGGGGAGCGCGTGGGGTGCCAGGGATGGAATCCTGGTGGGTCATGCGCAAGGCGAGAGCCCTCCCGCCGTAGCCCCGGCCCCAACTAGCCAGGCGCCCGCCCAGGAGGGCTGACTCCCGCCCCCGCCCCTCTCCTGCGATCGGACAGAGGAACCCGAGTCGGCTGCTGTGAGTCACGGCGGGTGACGCTTCGCCTTCCACTCATCTGCACCCAAGAATTCTGTTCTGAGAAAACGTTTTTTCACGAGGCAGCAGTTGGCGGCGGCGTCTGGAGCGGAAGGAAACACTCCTCTCCTTGCGGCGGGTGCAGCTGCCACGGGCCGGCCGGCCGGAGCAGCCCTGGGCGAGGGGTTCCTTGCAGACCATTGCTGAGCCTGGCTCTGGGGGGCGCGGGGACCCCTGGCGCGTGTGAGAGCAGAAGGCGACGGCCCAGGGCAGCAGGCCTCTCGCTGGGGAGGGGGCAGGGGAAGCCCTGAGCTGGTGGGGGTGCCCGGGACCCAGCTTCTGTCCGGGGGGCCACACGGGCGAGACCTCGGAGCACAGACCCAGGAGTAAGACCAGAGCAGAACCACATGGGGCCCCAAAGAAAAATAAAATCACGTTTTGGGAGGAAGAGCCTCGGGGACGGATCCATGTGCTGAAGCACAGCCCGCATGCGGGAGCCCTGAGCTTAGGCCCCAGGCGCCCATGCAGGCTGCACGCTCAAGGGCCCTGGGGTTGCATCATCAGAGGAGACATGGGAAGGCTTCAGCCTGACGTTCCCACTGGGGGCCAACAAGAGCTGGTGAAGTGGGAATTCATCCCCAGGGCCCATGGAAGCTCCGGACCCCAGACCCTGGGTGTGGCAGGCAGAAGCTGGACGGGAGGAGGAGCGGCCGGCTCCCTCAGGTCAATCGCCAACCTTGCCCGGAACGGGACTGGGCCTCCTGCCCCCAGCTCCCCAGTTTTCCAGTAGCCTTGGCGGTCACACTCACAGACTCCCCCGGTGCCAGGTGATCTCAGTGGCCAAGTTCTAGAGGCCAGGAAATAAGGCTCCCGGAAGAGAGCGACGCGGAATGTCCTGCAGTGCTCGACCGTGTTCACTGCCTCTTACACTCCAGCCTACCCATGTACCAAGAGGAACACATGTGTTTGGGTCCAACACACATGCTTGAAATATCTTAGAAAAGGGCTTAGGTGGTTCCAGGGTGAAATGCAACAACCGCCACACACTTTCCTCTTATGGTTGTAAGAAGGTGCAAGGTGGGTGGAACTGGTGTTTGAACATTGTTTGTAATGAACTATTGTGAACAACTTCATAAAAATAAAAATAAATAAAAATACCAAAAAAAAGTTAGACTCAGGTCTGAGTGGGCAGTGACTCCCGGGCAGAGGCTGGCACAAATCTGAGGTATCTATGTGTTCTGAGAGTCTTATTGAAAAATAAAAGCAGGATTCAGGGTTGAAAACAGGATCAGATTTTACATTAAGAAAGTACCAGAGCTTTTTCCCTCTGGACAGCAAGATGGCGGCCTCCTCGAAGCTGTTTGGAAAGCCAGGTATGAGCCGTTTGTGACGGGGCAACTGAAACCTCATAGGAAGGGGGGCATTCCTGGCCTGTCCTTCATGACCTACTGAGGTCATGAGTTGCTCCCCACAAGCGGCTCTCCAGCACGGCCATGGCTCCAGAGCCACAGAAACCAATCTTATAATTATCTGACTCTCGGCAGAAATACTTCCAGGCTTAATAAGTAAAATATCAGAAATACAAAATCGCATGGCCGCTATTGTGGCCGCATGACATCATTTGGTTCTTGTAACCAGCTGTAGAAAACAAATTATTTCACAGTGCCTTTTCAGCAGGTCTGACTTCGGGGTGTAAACTCTAAATAATAATGGTTCATCTTTTGTCGAAACAATGAATCTAGTCAAAGTAGATAGAGTGTTAAGTAGAATTCGTCTGCCTCACAGGCATTGGGAGGGTTGGGAGGCGAGGGGTATATTGGGGTTCTTGGTGGTGAAAAATCAGTCCTGGTGAAGGGAAACGTGTTTGATGATTGCATGACCGAGACTTACACCTGAAAGCTTTGTAACCTTTCTCACCGTGATACAATAAATAAATTAATTTAAAAAAAAAAGTACCAGGGAAAGTACGAGGGGAGGAGCTGGAGTGCTAGCACAGCAGGGAGGGCGTTTGCCTTGCACGCAGCCGACCCGGATTCGATTCCCGGCATCCCATACGGTCCCCTGAGCATCGCCAGGAGTAACTCCTGAGTGCAGAGCCAGGAGGAACCCCTGTGCATCGCCGGGTGTGACCCAAAAAGGAAAAAAAAAAAGTACCAGGGGAGGAAGAGGAAGAGGAAACCCAGCCAGTGAGGCGAGGGGGAGCTGGGGGTCTCGGCACACTGTCCCGCCGTCCCTCGACTGGACAGTGCGCTGTGATGGGGGACGCCCTGGAGTGCAGTCCGTCACCCTGGACGGGACGTCTGGACATGTCCCTCCTGTGTCGAACGTCCCTGCGGGCACAGCCGCCTTCGCTGGGGCTCCTCACGACTGACCCCTGGGCGCTGCTTCCCAGGCCTGAGGCAGAGGGCCCTGAGCGTCAGCGCTGCCACAGGGAGGCACAGGAACGCCTCCAACTTGGGGCCGAGGGGTCGGTGCAGGGGGGAGGAGGTGTGCCCTGCATATGGCTACCCTGGCTTCCGTCCCCAGCACCCGAAACGGTCCCCCGAGTGCTGCTAGGAGTGAGCCCTGAGCACAGAGCCGGGAGTGACCCTGAGCACTGAGCTGGGAATGACCCCTGAGCACAGAGCTGGGAATCAGCCCTGAGCACAGAGCTGGGAGTGAGCCCTGAGCACAGAGCCGGGAGTGACCCTGAGCACTGAGCTGGGAATGACCCCTGAGCACAGAGCTGGGAGTGACCCTGAGCACAGAGCTGGGAGTCAGCCCCGAGCACAGAGCCGGATGTGAGTCCTGAGAACCTGAGTCCTGTGAGTCCTGATGTGACCCAAACCCCCCATAAATGAGAAAGAAGGGCAAGACCCTGTGAGCGCGTGTCGAGCCGCTGGAGGCGGGGCCCGATGCCCAGGGCACGGCCCCCTGCCACCCCCCTCTGCGCATCCCATCCCGGCTTCTACGGCCACACCCGCCCTCGAGTCCCTTCCCCTCACGAGGCTCCCCCTGGGCGCAGATGCGGAGCCGGGCCGGGAGGGACTCACCGGGAGCCGGCCACGTGCTGGTGGATGTAGTCGGCGTGGAAGCGCGGCACCAGCGGGTCCTTCTCCCCGTGCACGATCAGCGTGGGGCAGCGCACCAGGGGCAGCAAGTGGCGGCAGATGTTGCCTGAAAGACCAGCGGGGAGAGCACCCGTGAGGTGGGAGCACTCTGTGGGGCGGGAGCACCTCTGAGGCAGGAGCAGCCTGAGGCAGGAGCACTCTGAGGCGGGAGCACCCATGAGGCGGGAATACTCTGTGAGGCGGGAGCACCTGTGAGGCAGGAGCACCTGTCAAGTGGGAGCACTCTGTGAGGCTTGAGCACCTGTGAGGCAGGAGCACCCGTTAAGTGGGAGCACCCATGAGGAGGGAACACTTTGTGAGGCAGGACTACCCGTGAGGCGGGAACACTCTGTGAGATGGGAGCGCCCGTGAGATGGGAGCACCCGTGAGGCAGGAGCACCCGTGAGGCGGAAGCACTCTGTGAGGCGGGAGAACCTCTGAGGTGGGAGCACCCGTGAGGCAGGAGCACCAAGTGAGGTGGGAGCACCCATGAGACGGGAGCATCTCTGGGCTTGGAGCACCCGTGAGACAGAAGCACCCTGAGGTGGGAGCAGCCATGAGGCAGGAGCACCCGTAAGGCGGGAGCACCCCCGCAAGTGCACGGCAGACGCTTCTGAGGGGCCTCGGGTCACATTCCAGGCGGCTCCTTTTTTCTCAGCTGTGTGGGGGGAAGTGTTTGTTCTGGGGTCACACCTGGCTCTGGTCGGGGATCCCTCCTGGTGGGGCCGGGGGGACCCTGCGTGGTCCGGGGATGGAACGAGGGTCTGCCGCGTGGAGGAAGCCGCCTTCACCCCTGCGCTGTCTCTCTGCGCCCCCTGCCGAGCCTGGACCCTCTGGGGCAGCGCCTACCCTGACACGGCCCTGCCCCGTTTCCTCCTGTGCCACACCCAGCGACAGGCCTCCCCCTGCGCCCTCGTGCTGTCACCTGGGAGCCCGCTGGGGCCCCTGAGTGTCTCTAGGGGCTGCATCTCCCCCACCCCTCCTCCTCCTCTCAGCATTCCCGGGGTCACTGGGCAGAGCAGAAAGCGTTGCCACCCGCCAGCCTGACCGGGGCTGGCGTCAGGCCGGCTCCTGGGGGTGTGTCAGGTGGGCACGAGCGTGAGGCGTCCCCCGTCCCTCCCTGTCAGGCCACGCTCACGGGCCCAGCGGGCTGAGCTGACGCGCTCGGAGTCAGGAGTGTCGACACCAAGTGTCTGCCTGTGCGCAGTCACCGTCCTTGACCGGCCGTGTCCCTTGCTGACGGTTCCCCAGTGAGGCTTCCCCTCCCGCCTGAAACCCAGCCCAGATGGACAGATGGACGCATGATCAGACCTGACCAGACTCCGCCTGGCCCTGTGGCCGGCGGCAGGAGGACACGCGGCGGGGAGGGCACCGCCAGGGGTGACCCTGCGCACCTCCGGAGGGGCAGGCGTGGGAGCGAGCCTGCCCGCAGGACCTTCCTTCCCACCAGCCGAGCTTGGTGTTTCTCCTTCCAGGGCCGAGAGAGGCGTCCCAGGGCCGGTTCTCAGCTTCCCTGGGCGGACCCACAGCTCAACAGGATGTTAGCTGCTGTTCTGAGCTTAAACCAAAACAGCTCCGTTTCCACGGTCAGAGCGCTGACCGCTGACTCACTCTGGAAACGCTGACCTCAGAGACCCAACTGGGCCTTCAACCAGAAACACGTTTGTAACTGAGTGGGCTCCAAGATTCAATTGGGGCTGGGGGGGGGGGGCGCGGGGAGAGACGGAGACACAGAGAGAGACAGAGACAGAGAGAGTAAGACAGAGGGAGGGGGGGGAGAGAGGGAGAGGGAGAAAGAGAGAGAGAGAGAGAGGGAGGGAGGGAGGGAGAGAGAGACTCCATGGAAACAGGGGCTGGAGAGAGCGCGGCCAGGCCAGGCGGGGAGGACGGGGAGGACGCTGGCCTTGGCGCAGCTGAGGGAAGGGACCCCGGCATCCCATACAGTCCCCGAAGCCGGCCAGGACTATCGAGCCAGGAGCAGCTACTGAACATCACCGGGAGAGGCCCCCAAACAACTCGAAACAAAACCCCAAACAGGCCTGACTTGAGAATTTGTCTCAGATGCTGAGGGGGGAGGAAGTGAGCCCCCCCCCCCCCCGCAGGGCTGACTCTGCTTCCCGCTTTCCGTCCCTGCCACAGAGGGCGAGGGGGCCTGGGGCAGACCCCAGCGGTACCCTGGAGGGGAGGGGCTTGGGGGGAAGGACCTGCCGCGTCACACAGGAGGTCAGCGGGCAGTGCTCAGGCGCTGGCCAGGGGCAGCAGCAGTGGGCGGGGTGAACGGTGGGTGGGGGGCACCCCAGCATGCCTGCGGCCAGCCAAGGTCTGCAACCCGGTTCCGGGACCCACCGTCGGGAAGATGCTTGAACTGCCCGATCCCGTCCACCCACTGCTCGCAGGTCCTGGCCAGGTAGCTGCGGCCGTACAGGGCTTCCAGGGGCTTCCGCGTCTTCTCGCTCCACTGGGACACGTCGCGGATCCCTGGGGAGTGGGTACAAGTGAGTCCCCAGGGCCCAGACCCGGCCGGCACCCCCCACCCCACCGCCTCTCCCCAGGCCCCCCGCCAGGCTCAGGCCAGGGGGAAGGACCTCGCCTGTTCCCCCACCACACCCCCCGCCCCAGCAAGCTCCTAGAACAGGACACGGCTTTCACCAGCACCGGAAAGCGGGTCTGCACGGCGAGAGAGGGGCCTCAGGGGGCGGACAGGGGCTTCCCTGCTAGAGATGACCAGGGGCCGTCAGGGGGGACGGGAAGGGGCTTCCCTGCTGGGGGTCCCAGCGTGGCTGCTCAGGAGGGAAGCGCAGGTAGGGGCCGTGAGAAGCGCACAAGCCAGCCTTTCACTGTTTTGGGCTTGGTTTCTGGGCCCCACCCAGCCCGCTCAGGGCGTCCTCCTGCTCCGCACTCGGGGATTGCCCCGGGGACCCTGGGGGTGCTGGGGCCTTGCACGCGCCCGTCCTGCTGTCCTGTCTCTCTGTGACTGACGTGGCCCAGAGCGGGCAGCCGGCCGCCACACAAACCAGGTACGGGGAACTCAGCCCCAGGAGAGGAGCCGACGCCAGACGCCCCCTCAGAAATGCAGACAGGGTGGCGGGAAGGCCTGGCCTTGCGGGGGTCAGCCCTGGAGAGGCCCCAGCCCCAGGCCCGGTCTCCGGAGCACTGCCCGGTGTCACTCCTGACCCACTGAGCACTCCTGGGGTGATCCCAAACCTGATCGGCCCCCCAAATAAAATGGATCAACAGGGTCTGGGGGTGTGGCGCTCGCCTGGCGTGCGTGAGGCCCCGGACAAGCAAAGCTAAAGCGAGGAAACGCAGTGAGGCCCTCAGCCTACGGCTCCAGCCCGAGCACTGGGAGAGACTCAGAGAGAGACACTGGGAGACCAGGCACAGACTCCTCTCGCCTTTCCAGGGGTCCCAGAGGCCCGGCCACCACTCTGACAACCCTCTGGGAACTGTGTCCAGACCCGATGGCTGCGTCCGATCCCTGCTCCTCCTGTCTCGTTGGCAATGGCAAATGAACCAGCAGGAAGAGAAATCAGGGGGGACAATTGCATCCTTGAGCCTCGCGCACCAGGACGCGGGTCTCCCCACCGAGGTGACACGGCCACCTCCACAGGGAGGACGAGCAGGGGGTGGACACAGCAGAAGAGGCTGAAGGGAACGGGCAGGGAGGCGGGATGAGCCGACACGTGAAGTGGCCGCAGCGGGCTCCCAGCCGCGTTCCTCCCGGGGACAGACACCCCCAGGGAGACCCTTATCGCCCCCACAAAGGGCTCGGAGGCCAGAGCGGATCCGCAGCTCGGCCTCGTGATAGTCACTCTCCCGCCTACACGCAAACTGAACATGCGATGACTAGGTGGGCACGCCGGGGCCTGGGTGTCACCTGGAGGTGTCACCTCCCCCACCCTGAGGCCCGAGGTCCCGAGCACCTGCAGGGAATGACCCCGAGGACCATGGCGAGAGAAGTGAAGCCCCTCTGCCCAGCAGACCCCTGACCGACAGCCCGAGTGACAGCCGCAGAGCGCACCCGGGGAGAGGTGACTGGAGCACATGCCACACTACAGGGCAGCCCCCCATGAGCGAGCGAGGCCGGAGCCCTGCCAGCCTGGCACATGGCTGACTCAGGGGCGACCCCCGGCATCCCACAGGGCCCCGAGCACTGCCAGGAATGATTCCCGAGTCCAGAGCCAGGAGGAAGCCCTGAGCATCGCCGGGTGGGACCCAAAAAGCCAAAGATGGAACGAGTCGGGGCGCTCTAACCCCGCCGCCCCAAATTCAACGAAACCCTGCACAAGGCCTCCCTCCCCGTCAACCGAGAGGCCAGCAGGCAGCCACGCGCGGGGGCCCCCACTCCCTGGCAGAGGAGGGCAGAGCCGCGGGGCGGCACCAAGCCCATGGGCACCGGCACAGAAGGCGTCTGCACGGCCGCTGCTCTCCACAGGACGGGACACGCGTCGGCGCAGAGGGTCTGCCTTGGGCCCACGCAGCACACACACAGACCCCTCACCCCCAAACCGGCCTCCTTAGATCCCCAACCGGGGCTCTTGCAGGGCCCAGACAGACGCGGCCTTCTCCCTGGCAGAGTCCAGCAGCGCCCACCGGGCAGCCCAGGGCCCTCAGCAGCTCCTGACTGAGCCCGGGACTGCCTGACCGCGGGCCCGAAAGTGGCCAAAGTCACTGAAGCGTTGGTGGGCCCGGGGCACAAGGCTGGGAGTGGACGGGAACAGGGACAAGCGTCAGCTGGGCTGGGCCTCCCCTAAGCCTCAGGGCTGCAGGATACGCGTGAGGAGCTGAAGAGCCCGCGGGTCCCTGGGGGCCAACACAAAGGGCGTCGTGTGACTGTTGTGTCCTTCCTGTTCGTGACTGGGACGGGGCATGGGAGGGACAGTGCAGGGCAGCCCTGGGTGCGGGACATGGCCACCTGGACCTCAGGGGCCCTCCTGCCTCCTGCGCACTGGCAGGGGCCACTTCTGGGCCGAGGTAGCCAGGAACTGCAAAGGCCTCCTCCGTGGGCCTCCTCGGGGCTGGGAACTGCAAAGGCCGGGATGGGGGGTGCGGGGAGGGGGCGGTGGGTAGGGGGCGGGCGGTGGGCAGTGCACGCACCCTGGTAGATCCGGTCGTCCTCCTCGGTTACGTAGGCATTGGCGCCCCAGATCACCATCTTGTGGACGAAGGTGGGGAACTTGGCGGCGGCCACCAGGGCTGTGATGCCCCCGTCGCTCCAGCCCAGCAGGGAGGCCTTCTGGAACTTGAGCGCCTGCGAAGGTCACGGGCACCATGGGGGCCGGCTGGGGCACTCCCACGGGTGCCAGAGAGAGTCATCAGGGCAAGCCAACCCTTCCATCAGGAACTGAGGCGAGGGCCGCAGAGATGGTGCAGTGGGTAGGGCGGCTGCCTTGCAAGTGGCTGACCCGGGTTCGATTCCCGGTATCCCATGTGGTCTCTGAGAAACACCTGGAGTAATTCCTGAGTGCAGAGCCAGAAGCAACCCCTGGGCATTGCTGAGTGTGGCCCCAAAACAAAACTCCACACACACACACACGCACACGCACACACATGCACACACACCACTAATGACTGGGGCTGCGAGGGCAGTTGGGGCCAAATGATCAATGCTCAGGGGTTGCTCCTGGCTCTGTGCTTAGGAATCACCCCGGACGGTGCTCCGGAGCATACAGGGTGCTGGGGATCCAACCTGCGTCCACAGGGGTGCGAGGCAAGCGCCCTGCCCGCTGTCTCACCTCTCTGGCCCCTGCTTTTTTCTTCATGCCCCTTGGAAATTCTGTGTTTCCTACTGGAATCCCAAGGTGTTGCCCGGGCAGAACGGAGAGTAAATGCAACATCTCGTACTAAGCCCAGACTTGGTGGGCCAGGCCAGCCCCCGCCGCCCGCCGCCCCGCCAGCCCACCTTCATCAGGTCGATGCAGTCCTTCGCGTCCCGCTCGAAGAAGTCCAGCGGGAAGTCTCGGTCTGGGGGTCTGGAGTGCCCGTAGCCCCGCGGGTCCCAGGCCACCACCGTGAAGAGTTTCTTGCTCAGGCTCTTAATCTGTGGCGCGAAGTCCGTCTCTCCGCACCCTGAGGGAAGTGGCCCGTCACCCTCCAGCACAGGTGGGCGCAGACCTGCTTCCTGCCACCCCCTTGTCGCCCTGTGAGGACAGTGGCCCTCCCTTGCTGGGGCCCGCGCTATTTAGCATCTCTCAGACTTTCACCTTCCTTTAAAAAAAAAAAAGTCTGGGCTGGAGCGAGGGTCCCGGGATCCCGGCTGGTTGGGCGGCCGCTGCTTTCACGGGAAACTGAGCCCAGTCGGCCACTGCAGCGAAACCCTCCTCTCTACACTGGGCACTCGGCACCCTGGACGGATGCCTGGCATCAGCTGCTCCACGGCCAGCCAGGCTCAGCTAGGTGCCCGCAAGCAACGGACCCTCCCAACGCTTTGGTTTTAGGGGAAAGAAGAACTGCAGGAGAAACGGATGCATGTGGGCGTGTTTCACTGCAGGGAAATGAGATGGCACTCAAAGCTCCTTAGAACCAAAGGGAATTCGTCCTGGAGCCAGAGCAGATTTCTCCAGAACTTATTATTATTATTATTATTATTTTTCTGCGGGGGAGGAAGAGAGTGGGATGGGGCCGCCCAAGGGGCAGTTTGGGCCAAGACCCCAAGGACGCGATGCTACTCGGCCCTGCAAGATGCAGGGGTGGGTTTCAGAGGGGCAGGAACAGGGCCAGGCCAGACGCAGGTGAGGTGTGACCTAACCACTGGACTACCCTCAGCCCCTGCCCTGGGTCTCCTGCCCGTCACCGCCTATTTGTGCCTGTTTGTGCTTTGGGCCACCCCCCGCGGTGGTCAGGGGTCAAGCCAGGGTCACTGTGTCTACGGCAAGGTCTCACTCTGTACTATCTCCCCAGACCCCGGCAACCACCTAGTCGGGAGGGAAACGGAGACCCATCCCGCAGTGCTCAGGGGCGATTTTCTGGCTCTGTGCTCATGACCCGGGCAGTGCTGTGGGGAGCGGCAGAGTCACCTGTGTCCAGGGACTGACCCAGAGTCCAGCCCCCCCAGGCCATCTCTCCACCCTCGGTCTCGCTCTTGGTCTGACTTTAGCTGAGCGAATAACCAAGCACATGGGGGGGCCCTGGCTCGACCTCCCGGGGCTGCAGACCTAGCATGCCGGGCATCAGCAGGACGGCGTGTGGGCCCTCGCCTGTGCGCTGGTAGTGCAGCTGGACGCCGTTCACGGTCACCTTGCCGGAGGTCACAGAGGACCTGTAAGAGAAGAGCCCATCGCGGGAGTCAGCGGCGACGGGTGGGGGCCCGAGTGGCCCCGTCCCAGCCTCCGCCACCCCCCTGCCACCCACCCCCCCGCCCCACAGCACCCACTGCCCGGCCCCGGGAAGTGCTGGCTCAGGCTGCCAAAGGGGCCGGTGGCACTGAGAGCCGGGGGGGGGGGGGGGGGGACGCTGCTCTGCTTGGGGGACCAGCTCTCCACCTTCCTGGGTGGGCCCCAGGCCCTGCCCAGCATGCTCAGGGAGGCAGCCCCAGGCACAGGCTGGAGGGAAGGCATGCGGCCTCACCCTGGGGCACTAGCAAGTGACCTCACAGCCTCCCCCAGGATGCTGGTGATGTCAAGGCCTCAGTTTCCCTGTCCGTGCCCCTGAGCGAGTGCTTGTTAAAGACACGGGGCCCGCTTCCTCCCTGCTACAGCCCACCTGCCCACCACGCGCACAAGTGTGCCAAAGACCAGCCCTCCCGCCCAGACACATGCACAGGTTCCTGGGAAAAGAGACTCAGGCTGAAGCGCCCAGGCTGGGCGTGACCCCAGCAACCCACAGGTTCCCCTGGGCTGCCAGGGGTGAGCCCTGAGCTCTGCCACGTGCGCCAAAATGGAGAATGAGAGACGGAACCAGGCAATAGGCTGGAACGACCAAAGGGTCATTGTCTACAGACCCCGAGGAGGGCAGCAAAGACCAGCGCCGAAATGCCCAGCAGTGCCCCCGGGTACCCGGCCCCGCCCAGTTCCCCAACACTGTCCAGTTCCCCAGTGCTGCCGTCACTCGGCCCTTGCCCAGTGCCCCGGGCCTGCCCAGTTCCCCAGCCCCGCCCAGTGCCCGGGCCCTGCGGCCTGCTCTTCTGGGTCATTGTGCCAGGAGGAGGCTGCGGGCAGGGCGGAATGTGGCCAGTCAGGGCTGTCCTGCAGTCAGGTCCCCTTGGGGTCCCGGCTCCTCGAGCTTTGAGGGGCTCCCTCCCTGCCCTCCCTCCAGGGCAGCCTGGAGACAGCGTGAGCAGTGACATCACTGCCCCATGTCTCCCGGGGCCCAGGCCGGGGGCACTGCCGACCACCATCAGTGTCTCTCCGGGCCGTCCCCACCCTTCACTCTGACGGGTCACACTGGGAGTGGAGGAGAGACAGCAGCTGGAGAGGGGCTGGCCAGGGGAAGGATTTCCGAGGCCGGGTGTTGGTGGGGAGGATGCTTCTGGAACAGGAGCCAGGACCACAGGCGGCGGGGACGGCACCAGCCAGAGGGCCCGGCTGGCACGGGGCGCTGGCCCTGGGTTTCGGAGCTCAGGCCAGGCAGGGCACCTGGGCAGGAGACCGTGAAGGAGCCAACGGACAGCAGCTCCGCTTCAGACGGACCCGCTAGCACATGGGGGGGGGGGGGGGCGGATCCACTGTACAGCAGGCAGAGTGCTCACACCTTGCTCGCGACCGACCCAGGTTCGAGAGCTGGCACTGCCAGCAATACGGTCCCCGAGCCGCCAGCAGAGATCCCTGAGGTCGGCGCCAGGGGGAAGCCCTGAGCACCGCCGGGAGTGGCCCCCAAACAGCAAACACAAAACCAAAGCGATGCCTTGGCTGAAGCTACTTCTACAGACCCCAGGCCACCGGGCAGAGGAGCCGTTTCCCGCCCCCCGAGCAAGGCGGCCAGGCCCCGGAGATGCTTTGTCGGCACCCGCCAAGGGGAGGTCGGGCTCCGGAGACGACCCCTAGAATAACGAGGCCCCTCACAGTGGACAAGGAGCACTTCCGTGACCCTCCCAAAGGTGCCCCGAGCAGGGGAACGCAGGGCCCTCCCGCAGGCTAAGCCAACAGGCTGGGCCCGGCCGGGGACAGTCACAGAGTGATGGGCGCGCTCAGGAGCCCCCTGCACCCTCGGGTGGGTTTCCCACACACCTGCCGTTAGTGGGCCTTGAGGGGGGACAGACCCCCAGGGTGCACTGAGCAGCACCAGCCGCCAGGGGGCGCCGAGAAGCCAAGCCACCACCTGCCCCAGCTCTGAGCCTGCCCGCCGTCTGCCCCCTAAACAGACCGGAGCCTCTGGGGCAGGACCACGGCTCCCTGACCCGATGGACACTCCAGGAGAGACTCCAACAAGCGACCCCATGCGATCCGAGTTGGGGGCTACGTGGTCCACGCGGGCTTATTGGGGAGGGGGGATCCCGCCTCCCTTTCACGCCTCTGGCTGTGGGGACACAGTGGGCAGTGCTCAGAAGACCATCTGGTAGCAAGCCGGAGACCCTATTGCTTTTTGGGGGTCACACCCGGCGATGCTCAGGGGTTCCTCCTGGCTCTGCACTCAGGCATCACTCCTGGCGGTGCTCGGGGGACCCTCCGGGATGCTGGGGATTGAACCCGGGTCAGCCGCGTGCACGGCCAACGCCCTCCCTGCTGTGCTATCGCTCCAGCCCCTGCACTGGGCCTTCTGGGCTTTCTCCCAGTCTCCTGCCGTCCCGTCTAAAACAGCCTTCTGGGGAGATGGTGCTGCTGGTTCAATTTTTGGCACCCTAAACGGCTCCCAGGGCTTGGCCAGGCGCGATCCCTGACCCCAGAGCAGGAGCTGGCCAAGAGCACCCCCAGTGTGGCCCCCAGACCAAGCCAACAGATAAAAACAGTCTGGGGGGCCGCGCACTCTGCAAGGACGCTGAATTCCTCACCCCCCACAACTGCCCTGCCTTATTCTGGGCGGGTGATTCTACGGCAGGGACAGGGTGAGAAGCGACCAGACAGCATCTGGCTCCGGACTGGGTGGGGGAGGCCGAGCTGCTTCTGGTCAGGCAGGAAGCACGCTCAAGGGCTTCACGGTTCGGGATACATAACGGAGCTCGAGTGAGAACTCTGTCCCAGGCTCCCTCCTCTCACCGCCTCAACTGAACTGAGGGTCAGTGTCTGGGTGACCTGCCCGGTCACATCGCTAGCGATCTCTCAGGTCAAGATGGGGCAGGGGATGTCCGGGGCATCATGCGGGCACGGCTGGGGGCAGGCACCTGGGGTTAATTGCATATGGCCGCCCAGCACCTCCAGAAGGGACCCCGGGGCATAGGAGTAAGCCCTGGCACAGCAGGTAATGTGCTTGCCTCGTATGTGGCCAACCCAGGTTCAAAGGTTCAAGCCCGGGTACCCCTGTGGTCCCAGAGTGTCCCCCCACCCCCAGCAGTGATCTCTGAGTGCAGAGTGCGCCAGGACTAAGCCCCAAGCACAGCCAAGTGTGGCCCAAACAGCAGACCAGAAAAATAAAAAGGAAAGAAAGAGCTCTAGGTTCTGGATCATTTCTGTAAACTGCATCAACTATTTCTTTGGCAAGTGTGTTATAAAATAACAATTAGGTTCTTTTATAAAAATAAAGAAGTACTGGCTCCCCTCTGGCTTGGATTTTGCACAAAATTTCATGATGCTCTTAAAAATACATTTTGTTCACTGAGCTACTATTTCCATAATGTATTTGCATCGTTACTTAGTTACTTATCGCACGGATTCATTGTTGCAGCTTAGTTCCGTGCAGGTCTTTCATCAGCTCAGTTCCTGGGGCCAATTCTAAAGGGTAGGTGGTCATTTCGGGGCAGCAGTGCCCCCTGGCGGCTGCAGGACTGGGCCCTCACAGCCAGAGGCAGTGAGTTCTCCTAGGCTCTGGCAGGACATCAAATTCTGCAAAGAGTTTTTCCTTCAGGCTGGCTGCAGGCTGCTAATATTTTAACTTCAGGTAAGAAGCTGTAGGCAGGGCTGGGGAGGCAGTACAGCAGGGAGGGTGTTTGCCCTGCATGCAGCTGACCGGGGTTCGATCCCCAGCATCCCATCGGTTGCCCAAGCACCGCCAGGAGGAATTCCTGAGAGCACAGCCAGGAGGAACCCCTGAGCACCACCAAGTGTAACCCCAGAACAAAAACAACAAAAACATTCTGCACAGAAAAGGCTCCCCCTGCCCCACCCCACCCCACGTGGCCCTGGTACAAACAGGGAGATTACGGTGTTGGAACAGTCTGTTCCCAGCAACACATGTGCCAACTTGGCTTTGCAACACGACTCCCTGCGGGGTCAGCTGTGAAACAGGTTTAAGGGAGGACTTTGACCTCCTCACCCGGAGGGAGCAGTGGCCAGTTCTGGGTGAAGCCCAGCTCGAGGCTGGGAGAGACCACCCGGGCTCCACCCCCGACCACCGAAGCAGTCCCTGGGCAAGGGGCGGGTGTGGACCCAAGCAGAACTGCAGCACAAGACCCCCAGAACCGCGCTTTGCAGAGATACTGGGGGAGGAACGATCGGACCGCTGCGTAGCGGGGCCGGGCTGGCACTTGGGCAGGACCCTCTGCGATCTCTTCCCTGCCAGCAGGACCCTGCACGGAGCAGTGCATAAATCGCCCTTCTCAACCCCGGCTCAGCTACCGGACTCGGGTATTCCCCCACCGCCCACCCCATGTGCAACCCAGAGATTTGAAAATCCTTCCCCAAACTTTTTTGGGGTCACACCTGGCGATGCACAGGGCTGACTCCTGGCTCTGCTGCACTCAGGGATCACTCCTGGCGGTGCTCGGGGGACCCTATCTATGGGATGCTGGGACGCGAACCCGGGTGGGCCGCGTGCACGGCCAACGACCTCCCCGCTGTGCTCTCGACCCAGCCCCTCCCCCAACTTTTCGGATCCGAACTGGGAAAGGGTGCAGCAGGCACGTATGACACCCCGGAAGGCGCCGACCCTAAGCGAAGCCTCCCTGCGGGGGGGACGGGGGGCTCTTTGCAGCGGCCGGCTCTGCAGAGGCCCCGCGCCAAGGGCTGGCCCGGGGGGCGGCGACCCCGCGGGCAGGTGCAGTTCCCCGGGGCCGAGACGCGCGCCCAGACCCCCGGGGCTCGCGGCGCCGTTACCCGAACGCGGCCGTGGGCGCGGAGCGGCCCGCGCGCATCCCCGGCGTCACAGGCGACAGGAGGACGCGCAGCCGCCGCGCGCCGCCGCCGCCGCCGCCCAGCCGCACCGCTGCCATCGCGCCCGGGGGCGCCGGCCTCGCCGCGGCAACTGCGCCTGCGCCGAGCCCGCCCCGCCCCCGCCCCGCCGCACATGCGCACAGCCCGACCGGCGGCGCCCGCAAGCCCGCCCCCCGCCCGGGCACGCACGCGCAGAGCCCGCCCCGGAGCCCAGAGCCCGCCCCCCGCCCGGTTGCGCACGCGCAGAGCCCGCCCTGGCGCCCAGAGCCCGCCCCCCCCGCCCGGTTGCGCACGCGCAGAGCCCGCCCTGGCGCCCAGAGCCCGCCCCCCCCCGCCCGGTTGCGCACGCGCAGAGCCCGCCCTGGCGCCCAGAGCCCGCCCCCCCGCCCGGTTGCGCACGCGCAGAGCCCGCCCTGGCGCCCAGAGCCCGCCCCCCCGCCCCGTTGCGCACGCGCAGAGCCCGCCCCGGCGGCGCCTGCAGCCCGCCCCGCGCCCGAGTGCGCACGCGCAGAGCCCGACCTGTCTATTACTTTTCGGAGTCAGGTGGTAGATGCAACCGCCTTTTGCCTGCCTGGGGGAACAGCGTCTAAGGGGCGTCGGGTCTCCCGGAGAGAACAAAGACCCCCGCCCTCTCCCCCCCAAAGGACAGGATCTAAGTGCATAGCCCTCGAGGGGGCAACTTTATTTGGGTGAAAGGGTGCCCCGCTCCGCCTAAGCTAAGGGGCCCTTAATCCCAGCCGCGGGTCAGGAGTGCGACTCTGCTCACGTGGCAGCTCTGGTGGGTCTGTGGTTTGCCAGTTTGCTTTTTTTTTTTTTACCTTGGCAAACGCTTCCACGTGGCCGGCACACCGGCACAGCCTCAACGGCCTCCTGGGCCCCGGTTTTTAGCCAAATGCATGCAGATGTGGCCTCATTTTATTGATTTAGGCTTTTTGGGTCACACCCGGCGATGCCCAGGTGCTCGGGAGCCTGTGGGATGCCGAACGGGGCCGTGAACGTAGCCTGGCAGTATCCCGTGACCCAGGTCCAAGCAGCCTGTTCCCATGTGGTCTATCAACTGGTGGTCATAGCCGGCCAGCTACAGGCTGATGGCACCGTGGGCGGTTTTATTCAGGATCCACAGCGGTTGTATCGAGCATCGCGGAATCAATGCAAGCAGATGAGTGTAGGTGGTGGGTGGGGGATGAAAGCTTAGATCGATGGCTACATGGGAAAGATTGGCATAAGCAGAAACACAATTAAAACAACCTCGATCCCATCACTATTGCCAGTTATTTGTCTAGATTCCTCAGGTGTCGACATCCCACCTCCCAAACCCGGGCACCATGATTGCCAAGCATTAATCTCTCCGGGAATGTCAACCCCCAGTCCAGGCCCTGGCAGCCTTCTAGAAGTTGGATCCGTGCAGTTGGTTTCAGAGCTTTGCCCGCAGGAATTGTGCAGTGCTGGACTAAACGTGGGCTATGCAAACATTTATATCCTACTTTAAACAGTTTAAAGCAATTTCTTGGAGAAAAGGAAAGGGTGAAAACCGAGTCAACTGCTATTACTGACTTCCTGAAATCCCTGGTGGGGTCCGCCTTCCCTTTCTCACTTTCCTGAGATGTTGACTGGGCTTTCCTGTCAGAGCTGAGAGGGGTCTGCACAATTTTAACTTCTGTCATCTTGCTGTTAAGCAAAAAGTCACCCTTTAGGGTTTTAGGTTGTTGGTGTCATGATTTACTTTTTTTTTTTTTTTTTGCCTTTTGGGTCATACCCAGCAACGCTCAGAGGTTACTCCTGGCTCTGCACTCAGGAATTACTCCTGGCGGTGCTCGGGGGACCATATGGCATGCTGGGACTCGAACCCCAGGCGAGACGCGTGCAAGGCAAACGCTCTTCCCGCTGTGCTATTGCTCCAGCCCCTGATTTACTTCCTCTTGTTTTGTTTGGGAGGCCACTCCCAGCTGTACTCAGGGTTTACTTCTGGCTCTGCCGACTCAGGGAACACTTCTGGTGGGCTTGGGGGACCACATGGGGTTCCTGGGATTGAACCCCGAACCCGGTCAGTCACATGCAAAGCAGGCGCCCGGTGGCCTTCAAGGCAAATGCGATCTCTGAGCCCCAAGATGACTGTTTTTGTGGGGGTCAGGCCTTTTATTGAAATGCCTCCAGGGAAAGGTTTGGGGTTCTCTGAGGGAGAAAGGTTGGGGAGCCCTCTGAAGGACCCACGAACTTCAGGCCCTGGAGGCAGTGAGTTTTCACCCTGAGCACTGTCTGGAAGCTTCTCTGCACATCCTCTCTCCTTGCAGGAAGCAGGAGGCGGAGAAGGGGAATGTGGGAGATTGCCAGCCAGGGTCAGGTCCCAGCGCCACGTCCCACACTGTGCTGTAGACACTCTCCTTCAGTGGATCATGGTCCTAATAAAGTGCAAAACTTTATTTAAAAGATACGCAAATAATTTAACTGATTAACATCAATTGGGCTGGAGCGATAGCACAGCGGTAGGGCGTTCGCCTTACACGCGGCCAACATGGCCGACCCGAGTTTGATTCCTCCGCCCCTCTCGGAGAGCCCGGCAAGCTACCGAGAGTATTCGATATGCCAGACACAGTAACAACAAAGTCTCCAATGGAGACGTTACTGGGCCCGCTCGAGCAAATCGACGATCAACGGGAGGGCCTTTACCTTGCCTTTACCTAACATCAATCATGGAATTTCTCAGGCAGTTGGAAGGCTGTTGGTAAGATTCAGGCCTGCCCTTGGGAAGAACTCATTTGGCTTGCTCTGCAGCATGGGAGGCCCCGTCCTGGGCGCTCCCTGGGTCCCTGTGCTCTCGTGGAAGGCCACGAGCCGTCCCTGTCACCTGGGCCGTTCTGCCCTTCAACATCAGGCCCAGGCCGGGGACAGTTTGATGTCATGAACGGGGAGAAGAGCGGGCAGCCAGCTTCAGGGGCGGGGGCGCTTCCAGGCACCCTGCAACTCATGGACAACAGGCCCACGAGGAGCTGTCCCAGCTGGTGCTGCGGGCGGAGCAAGCCCCTTTCCGCTCCTGTGCCCCGGCTGTGTCAGGGCTGCGCGTCATGTATCCTGAGTCTCCTCCCTGGCCCCATGGCAAACACCGTCCACGTCAGCCCAGGTTTGGGGGCCTGGGGGTGGTGAGAGGCCGCTTGCTGGAGGCATGATGGCTGCTGGTCTTGACAGCTCCACCCCCTCCACCCCCCACCCCCAGTCACAACCCACATAGCCAGGTCGGAAGAACTGCACCAGTACTGGAAAAACTGCTCCAGTACTGGAAAGAACTGCACCAGTAGTGAAAAGAACTGCACCAGTACTGGAAGAACTGCACCAGTACTGGAAGAACCGCACCAGTACTGGGGTGCAGTCCCAGGCAGTGGGGGAGGGGGCGGCTTCCCCAGGGCCCAGGTGGGGCAGCGCAGGTCAGAGGGCAAGAGGAGATGGACACACGTCCTGGAGGGTCTGTCCGGCACGTGTCATCTGTCTCCCCACCTGAATGCCCCGCGCGCAGTTCGGGAGTGAAGTGGCAGGTGGTGGGGGGCTGCGTGGAACTCCTGCCACCGGCCGTGGAAGACACAGCACCGGGCTGCGGGGATGGACAGGGCCTGTGTTGCCACAGAACCTGCTGGAAGGAACTGAGGATCTTACAGTGCTTTGGTCTGAGGGGTGCGCGGACCAGGGACAAGCACCGGAGTCTGAGTGGACTTTTGTGCCCCCCCCGCAGCTCAGTGCAGCCAAACTCCGGAAGCGGAGTGTCGCTTCCTTCTGGTGCAGACACAGAGAAACTCCTCTTCAGCTGGCTGTCCTCCCTTTCCCCAGCCTAGAGGATGGTTGTGTTTTGTCTTGTCTCTGTGTTTGCCCTGCGGGGCTGCTGGCTGTGGCTTGTTCTCCCCTTCTCCGGAGAGGCGGTGCGGGGCAAGGAGGCTGAGGCGGACGCCGAGCTCCTGGCAGGGTGGGGAGGATGCTGGTGGCCCCCACGTGGGGCTGAGTGTCTGGCAGAGGCAGGAGCCCGCGGGCCCGGCCGCGCCCCGGAGTCAGTCCCGGCTGACGAGCATGAGTTTGTGGAGGAGGTTTATGCATGAGCACTGGTGCAGTGCCCTGGCCAGCTTGCCCACGGTGGCGCCCTTGGTGCCCTCCCGCATGACCCACTTCTGGAGCATCTGGTAGACCTTCTCCTTCAGGCCGTCCCGCTCGTAGTCGTGGTCGATCTCCTCGATCTGCGCGTCGGTGAAGCCCAGCTTCCGCGCGAGGTTCTTCCAGTGCCGCCCCAGGTTCTCCCGGACGGGGTCCAGGTGCCTGTCCGTCAGGCTGGTGCTGTTCCCTGCCCGAGAGAAGAGAGGACGGGGTCAGGCACGGCCTCCCGCAAAGGGCACAGCGCCCGGGAGAAAGGGAACCAACCGACCCAAACGAACGGGGCTGCTTCATTCGAGCACGCTTGGCTTGGGGTTTCCAGCTGCCCAGGCCTCGGACCCGGGCCGGCCCATAGAAAGCTGTTGCTGGCCTGAGACCAAGTGGGCACTGGGGAGCCGGGCGCTGTGGTGGCAGGATGATAAGGATGGAGGAAGGTGTGGTCCTGGGGCCACACTGGAGGGCTTCAAAGCTGACTCCTGGCTCTGAGCTCAGGGATGACTCCTGGCGTGCTCAGGAGACCACGTGGGGGGCCAAAGCCTGACCCCGGGAGCTGCGTGCATGCCAGGCACCCTGCCCGCTCGCCTTCCTCTCTCTCCGGCCCAAAGCCCCCAGTGCTTATTAAGGAAGCGCTGGAGAGGGCGGGCTCCCTCTTCTCAGAGCTCTGCAGCTGAAGCCTGAGGGCACCTCTGTCTCCTCAGCCAGGCGGGGGGAGGGGTCTGCAGAGCTGTTGGCCAGTCTGGGCTCTCCACAGTGGCCAGCCCTTTCTACAGAATGGACTTCATTTTCACAGCACACCCACGCACTTCAGGTCGCAAATGCGTTCCCACCTTAGACACATAGGCTTGCTTAAAAGGAAACAGAAATTCCTGAGTTTTTCTACAAAGAGAAAAACAACCATTTTCTAGGAGAAGAATGGAAGGATGGAATTACTATTTTGTAAATAATATTACTTTGGACAAACTGGCAGGCTACCGAATGTCACCTGCCCACACGGCAGAGTCTGGCAAACTCCCCGTGGCGTACCCAATATGCCAAAGACCAGTCACAATGATGGGTCTCATTCTCCTGACCCTGAAAGAGCCTCGAATGTGGCACTTTTTAAAAATCTCAGGGCTAGGACGAAGGAGACGTTACTGGGGCCTGCTCGAGGCAATCGATGAACAACAGGATGGTCGTGATCGTGAAATGAGGGGCCAAGCGCTCTCTGCCTCTCTCTGTCTGTCTCTGTCTCTGTCTCTGAGTACAGCGGGAAGGGCGCCTGCCTTGCATGTGTCCTAGCTGGGTTTGATTCCCAGCGGCCCAAATGGTCCCCGGGGCCCCCTCCAGGCGTGGCCCCTGAGCACCACCCGGTGTGATCCAAGACCCAAAACGACAACTCCAAGATGCCCCAATCTTTCTCTTGATGGGTCGACAAAGGGCGCCCGGGAGCAGCTCACCGAAGAAGACCTCGTACTGGGGCTCTTGCGCCGGCTCCGCGGTCGGGCTCTGGTACGAGTAGTCCCACAAGGGAGGCATCAGCCCATTCACCTCCATGTAGTTGTTGTCGCCGATCTGAATGGCGCTGCTGTTGTATATGGCGCACTTCGCTGTCTCGTCTGGAGAGGGAGACGCACAGGTAAGCTCGCGGAGACCGAGAGCGAGAGGAAACGATGTGTTCTGTGTGTGTGTGCGTGTGTGTGTGTGCGCGCATGTCTGCGTGTATGTGTGCACGTGTGATGTGTGTACACGTGGATATGCGTATGCATGCGTGTAGGTGTGTGCATATATGTGCACGTGTGGTGCGTGGGTGCACATGTGAGTGTTGTGTGTGCATATGCATGCATGTGCTCGCGTGTCAGTGTGTGTGGCTTCACCTGCAGGTTTCAGGGACATGAGATGCCCTCTGGAAGGTTCTCTCAGCAGCAGGACGGCTACTACCAGAAAAAGGAAAATACACAAAGAGAAACTACCAGGGGCCCCCGGGGGTGAGGCCCAGCCTCGGGTACTGGGTCCCAGGACTGATGTCCACAGTCCCCCAGACCACAAAGCCCATCTCACAGCAGGGACTGCCCAGGGCCAGCCAGGCTGAAGACACATGAGACGCTCCCATTGCTCCCTAAGCGGGCGGCCACTGCGAGTCTACAGGAAGCGAGGGGAGGGCATCGCGGGGGCACCGCCTCACGCCAGCTGACCTGGGCTGAGGACGGACGCCGAGCACACCCGAGGGTCCCAGGAGCCCCGCCAGGAGGAAGCCCTGCACACCGTGGGTGTGGCCCAACCTCCACCCCCTCCTCCCACACAGGAAGAAATGAAACAGGGTCACCACAGGATCCCATTGCAGGGTTGAGCCCCAAGAGGGGGAGACCGAGTTTCCACCGACACTCACTGCTGACGGGGCATCAGCAGACGTGGCATCTAGCGCATGGGGTAGTATTTCTCCACCCCACAGCAGAAGGGCACCTGACCCTGGCTCCCCCACAGACACTGCTCCAGGGTCCAAGACAGGAGGGTTCTACCCACAGGCCCCTAGACTCAGGGTTCACAGGGACGGGACGGAGCAAGTTGGTCCCGAGGGCCTGAGCAGGTCCGGCGTCTCTGCCCCCAGGGAGGCGAGTTCTGGGGCGCTGACCCAAGGCCCCGAGTGGACCTGAAATCCACCGGGCGGTGGGACAGCCCAAGGAGTCTCAGCCCTTGGCTCTGCGTGGTTCCCGCCCTCAGGAGACTTGGGCTGTGGCCGCCTCGCCGAAAAGCAGGCCAGGGGCAGCGGCGCTTCCCACACACAACACGGTTCCTCCCTGCAGGCGAGCCCCAGCCTCTCACGGTCTCCAGAGCCTACCACCATCCCCAAGCTCTCTCTCGCCCCAGCCCAGTCTCCGCGGGCCTGTCCCCGACTCCGGTGCGTCCCTGTTTGTGGCCACTGACACCCGCCCTGTGTGTCCCCCCAGGAGGCCTCGCCGCCTGTCCCTCTCGAGTCCCTACGCTCGCCTGGCCCAGGACTGGGACTGGGAGTCACGTCTGTCTGTGTCTGCGGGGCTACGCGGGTCTCGAGAGACGGGAAGGAAGGGAGAGGAACAGAAGGCAGGAAAGACGGGGGACACAGGTTTCAGCACCTCGGCCAGCGCTCACGGGCCTGAGCCCGGCTCCTGTGGTGGGAAGCTGCCCCGTGAAGACCTGTCCACAAGGATGAGCAGGAAGCAGGAATCCGTCTCCCCGCGGTGTCAGGACACACCAGGACAGGTGCATCCGGGCTCCCGGAAGCTGACGCTCGGGGACGTGTCCCCGGCTGCTGAGTCTGAGGGAACTTTCTGTGCTACTTACTGGCCATGTCTTACATCCATGTCCCAGGGAAACCGAAGGGACCAGGCCATGGGAACAGTGCCGTCCCCTGCTCATGTCAGGCAGAGTGCCCACATGTCTCGCCCCGTGGCCCTGTGTACACCTCGGTGCTCATGGTGGGCACCCGCCCACCCCTGAAAGCCGAGAGCGTGTGACCCGACCAGAAGCTTCCCACAGCGCCCTGTGCTGCCAGCTCGTTCCAGTCTGGCCCCTGGCCACCCGAGAGCAAGCGCCCACGTGTCACTGCATAAAGGCGACAGGCACTACGGTGAGAGGGCTCGCTCCAAGTCCCCCTGCGGAAAGGGGCACCAGCCAAAGTGTCATCCAAGCGCAGAGCGAGGCGTGGGGGGCTGCTTCCCGGAGAGACACTCCCCCTTGGACGTGGCCGCTAGGGACACAGCCTGTGTGTGCATCCACTGAAAGTCACCTGACTAGGGGAAGGACCGACAGTCAGGCTGCATCTGCAGAAGGGTGGGCTCTGGGACACCCAGCACGGGGTGAGGGGCCGAGGGCCGGGGAGCAGGAGGGTCCCGGTGGGGCCCCCTCAAGGAGGACAGAAAAGTGCTGGCCGCTCCACCTCCTGCGAGGCCAGAAATGGGCCTGCCATGGCAAGGACGGCCACGGGGCGCTTCACAGAGCCGGGGCTGGAAAACGGCCAGAGAGCCGAGGGTCCTTCAGCTCCTAATGGGCTAATCCTGACTGAATCGGACACAGTGGCCAGTCAGACAGCTCAGCTCACCCCGTCTGGGTCCCACCGACCTCACCGCACATCCAGGGAGAGAAACAACCCAGAATGTTTCAGTTTTTGTCTGCTTTGCTTGGGGGGCCACGCCTGGCAGTGCTCAGGGCTTCCTCCCGGCTCTGAGCTCACTCCTGGAGGGCTCAGGGGACCGTGTGGGCTTCCAGGGATCAACCTGCATTGGCCACGTGCAAGGCAAGGTGCCTGAGCTGCTGTACTATGGCCCCGGGCCCCGTTTTCACAGCTTGGGGACACGGTGGCCTTTGGAAAGACAACGCAACTAAGTTCCTCGTTCTCAAAGTTTCGCCTACCTGAGCTGACGCCAAGGTTTCTAGCGGACGGCGGTGTGACTGAGAGGGCCATGGGTGCGTTCCCCGGCAGCGTGCAGGACACTACGCCCTCCACTCGGGACTGTCCATCGCTCCCGGGTACCAGCTCTTGCTGGGCCCTGAGGGAAATGGATGGTCATCCTCTCATCACGGACACTCCCCTGTGGGCCCCCCCGATAGCGCTGTCCTTCAGAACACGGCAGGTGAGCGTGGGAGCCAACGCGTCACAGCCCGAGTATGGGACCAAACTCAGCAGCAGGTGGGAGGGGCCCTCAGCTAGTTCCGTCACCTGCCACCTACCTCTGACAACCCAAACCATTCCCCGTCTGCCCGGCGTGGGATGGAGCCCACTCCGAGGGGCCAGCAGGCGGCCAGGACGCCTCTGTCCCATCACAGGCTGCTGTGACGCCTCCCACAGAGCTCGTGAAGACTTGGAGAGAAAAGGGAGAGAAGCCCACGTACCTCTCGACAGCTGGGAGATGAACGGCATGGTGGGGGCGGTCCCCACGAAGAGGCTCTCGGGCACGGGCATCCGCAGCGGAGGACACTGCAGCAGGCCTGAACAGGGTCCGCTCCACACCCTCGGCGCTGCCACAGCCGGGTCGGGGGCTCTAGCCCAGAAGCTCTGCGTGCCGGGGACCCCGCCGTTCCAGTACCCTGCAGGCTGGCTGCCCGGTCCGGCCGGGGCAGGCCTGGCCACATTGGCGTAGACGAAGCCTTTCCTCTCGGGGCTCTTCACGTGCTCCGAGGGTCTCGGTTGTGCAAACGGGTCGTGGGAGACCCGGCGCCTCCTCTCCTCCTCGTGGCGGGTGGCCACGGTCGGCCGGGGCTGCGGCTTCGAGGTCCTGTCCATGCGGCTGCCGTATAGATGGTAGTTGGCTTCCTCCTGGAGTTTGCTCTGCAGGTGGAACTCGTTCTCCTCGGGCTGATGGTCCGGGGAGGGAGCGAAATACAACTCCTCCACGGGGGTCGCCCCCAGGCCCTCGGAGCTGCGCAGTGAGTGGGGCTGCTCCGTGGCTGAGGAGGGAGAGACACGCGTGAGCCGGAACCAACCAGCAAAGCCAGCCCCAGTGGCACAGGGCCGCCGCCCCCGAGAGAGAACACACCCGAACAGGCAAGGCACAAACACTCGGACGCCTTCGGAAAGTCGGGGTGAGGGTCTCAGGCCACCACCAGCAAGCAGGGAGAGGGCCACCAGTCACGGCCAGTGGCCGCTTGCGGGAGTGAGCGGGGGAGAGGGTCTTTGTAGGAGCCCGGGAAGGGGCTGGGAAACCGCAGCTCTGCGCCAGGTCCCCTGCTTGGGACAGAGAGGGGCTCGCGTGCCTGCCCACTTGCTTGGCTTGGGCTGGTTTGGGCTTTGGTTTGGGGCCGAACCCACTGGTGCTCAGGGCTTACTCCTGGCTCTGCTGAAGGATCACTGCTGGTGGTGCTGAGGTGGCGGCCGGGGTGGAGAGAAGAACCACACGAACTGGAGTCCGCGGCGTGCAAGGCCACGCTGTAGCCTTGGGACCACTGCTCATTTTTACTTCCTTATGGTATTTATTTATTTTGGGATTGGCTTGGGGGGGGGGGGGGAAAATACTCCTGGGTCTGTGCTCAGGGGCGGCCCCTGGTGGTGCTCAGGGTATATTCCTGGGTGTGTGCTCAGGAGCGACCCCTGGTGGCGCTCGGGGGATATTCCAGGGTCTGTGCTAAGGAACGTCCCCCTGTGGTATTCAGGGGATATTTCTGGGTCTGTGCTCAGGTGCGGCCCCTGGTGGCGCTTGGGGGATATTCCTGGGTCTGTGCTCAGGGGCGGCCCCTGGTGGTGCTCGCGGTATATTCCTGGGTGTGTGCTCAGGAGCGACCCCTGATGGCGCTCAGGGGATATTTCTGGGTCTGTGCTCAGGAGCGGCCCCTGGTTGTGTTCAGGGTTCATGCGATGTCAGTATTGGTGATGCATCTGGGGTTGGCCTAAAGTAAGGACCAGGGTCTGCACTATGTCTGCAACCCCTTGTTTTGTTTTGACAGGCGCCCTGCCCAGCAGTACTGGGAGGTGGGGAGGCCTGAAGGGCCTGGGGTCAGACATGGAACTCTGGGTCTCACACAGGGGAGGCACATTCTCGACCTAAGTCCCGGGCCCCTTTTCCTTCCGTGAGAAACATCCCCCTCTGGACAGAGAGCCCTCTCTGCTGGTGCTCCAACCTCCACCAGGACTTCACCCCCAAAAGGTCCCTTTTCGAGGCATCGACCCTCGCCCATGTGGTCGTGAGCAGAACTTGCGGACGCAGGGTATATTAACAAGCAAACAGACCGAGATCAGTGCCAGTTACCTGAGTTTGACCGGCTGGGAGGCAGCGGCACACAGTCCAACTGGAGCGACTCCATTCTCTTCACGATTCTGTCGCACTGAAACTTTTCCTAGGGGGAAAGCCCAGGTGATTCAGAGCTAAGCTCGACAACCAGTACAATAGGAAATCATTGCATGATTAAGGGCAAACAATCACTAGGCAGCATGAAGAGCATCTTAACTGGGTTAATAGTTATGGCAAGAGTCTTTTACACACAGTTCTTACAAACAGTAAACATAAGATAGTGGCTTTCCCAAATAGCAAACAACAATCACTGTCACTGTCCTCCCGTTGTTCATCGATTTGCTTGAGCGGACCCAGTAACACTGTGAGACTTGTTACTGTGTTTGGCATATTGAATACATCACGGGGAGCTTGCCAGGCTTTGCCGTACAGGCAAGATACTCTCAGTAGCTCGCCGGGCTCTCCGAGAGGGGCGGAGGAATCGAACTTGGGTCGGCCGTGTCAGCTGCATGCAAGGCAAACGCCCTACCTGCTGTGCTATCACTCCAGCAGACAACAATGATAGCATAAAATAAAGCCAGGGACTGGAGAGCTAGCCCAGGGGAAAGGGAACTTGCCTTAAACATAAAATCAGGCTTGGGGCCGGAATGATAGTACAGTGGGTAGGCCACTTGCCTTGCATGCGGCCGACCCCGTCTAGATCCCCGGCATCCCATATGGTCCCCCAGCCCCGCCGGGAGTAATTCCTGAGTGCAGAGCCAGGAGGAACCTCTGAGCATCGCTGGGTGTGACCCAAAAAGCAAACATAAAATAACATAAAATGGGGGATTGGAGAACTATTCAGGGGTGGGGAGGCTTGTCTTAAAAATACAGTCAGAGACTGGAGAGCTAGTCCTGGGGCGAAGGGGGTTGCCTCACATGCAGCCAGCTCCAATTCAATCCCGGCATTGCATATGGTCCCCTAAGTACCAACAGGAGTGATCTGCAAGTGTGGAGGCAGGAGGAAGTCCTAAACACCACGAGATGTAATTTATATACCCCTCAGATAAAATAAAAAGGTCAACAGGGCCAGAGAGACAACTCAACAGGAGGGCTGAGCACAGGCTTTCTTCACACAGGAGGCTTAAATTTGATCCCTGGCGCCATGAGGTCCTCTGAGCACCAGCAGGAGTCACCCCGGGTACAGAGCGGGGATCAGTCCCTGAACTTCATCGGCTGTGGCCCCAATTCCCCCCACCCCCCAAAATAAAATCAAAGTATGGGCCATGGAGACAGTGCCGTGGGTGGGGCGCCTGATTCCTGAGCCCCACCACGTGTGGCACCAAAATCAAACAAATGAAAACGAACCCAAGAGGAGAAGTCACTCTCCCCGATTCCAAATCCCCCCAACGCAGCGAGGCGCCATGCTGAGACTGGTCAGAGGGCAGACTAGCCTAGAATGCCTGGGGACCCTCGGGGCTCTGAGGACCACTGGGTGTAGCCCCAGTGGCCCATGAGTACTGATCTCATGTCTGGGGGGGGCTCCCAGGGGCCAGTGACTGAGCACTGAGCCATCCCTTCGGGCCAAGCGTCTTGAGGAACAGCCCTGGGTGTCTCCCAAGCACTGCTGGTGTGGGCCCTTGAAATCCAAAATAAACCAACAGGATCGGGCTGACATCAGACCTGAGCCCAGTGGAGAGTCCGGCATGAACTCTTGCTTATACAGACGTCTGACTGCGCAGGGGTGTCCGGCGCCCTGGACGGGGGAACTGGAGGCCCATGTGCGGGCAGTGCTTTGAGTCTCACTGTCCTCACGGACAAGCCCTGACAACCTTTCCCTGTCGGTCGAGCACATCTGACCTCTTCCCCGGGAATCCATGTGGTCTGGATGAACCCTAATTCGGAAGTGCTTTCTTATAAACTTTCGGTTCACCTACAACTCGTGGCTCTTATAAAGCAAGGAGCCGGGCTCCCCTCTGAGTGCATGGGTGGCAGTGGGGGTGGGGTTAGAGATAACTGACTGTATCATGGTACCAAGTTACCAGCTTCTGGGACTCTGGCAGAGGCCTCGGCCTTCCAAACAACATGCCCAACTCACACCTTTTTGGGGTGGACCACAGCTGGCAGGGCCCAGCCCATGTGTGGTGCCGGGGATGGGAGCCAGGATCAGGTCGGTGGTCCGACTCCTGCTCTCTCTCCAGTGCCCAGGCCACTCGCCCCCCACTGCACGGGCAGCTGTGAGTACCCACTGAACCCAGTGGTGAGGCCGGGCACCTGTCCCAGTGTGTGCCACTCAACAACACTTCATCTCGGAACCACTTGTCTCTGTTGTAGATCACTTTTTTTTTTGGCGAGGGAGGTGTGCATATCCCACAGTGCTCAGGGCTTACTCCTGGGGGTGCATGGGAGACCATATGTGATGCCGAGGATTAAACTGATGGCAGCTGGGGCCGGAGCAATAGCACAGCAGGTAGGGCGTTTGCCAGGCATGCAGCCCACCTGGGTTCGATTCCTGCCATCCCATATGGTCCCCCAAGCACCGCCAGGAGTAATTCCTGAGCGCAGAGCCAGGAGTAACCTCTGTGCATCACCAGGCATAACCCAAAAAGCAATAAATAAGTAAAGAAATGAACTGATGGCAGCTGCTTGAGGGAGTGTCTGCATCCCTGCCCTCCCTCTCCAGTCCCCGGCCTGCTTTTCATTTGCAGTCTTTTTCTTTTTTCAGTTGTCAGTATCCGTGACCAGTCTGGATGTTAACTACCAGGTTCAATCCAGCCTAAGTAATTTTTTTTTTTTTTTTGCTTTTTGGGTCACACCCGGCGATGCTCAGGGGTTACTCCTGGCTCATGCACTCAGGAATTGCTCCTGGAGGTGCTCAGGGGACCCTATGGGGTGCTGGGAATCGAACCTGTGTCGGCCATGTTGGCTGCATGCAAGGCAAACGCCCCACCCGCTGTGCTATCGCTCCAGCCCCTCTTTTTGTTTTTTAATTTATTATTTTTTATTAGTGAAACACTAGGATGAAAGAGATGAAAGGATGAGAGAGACGTTACTGGGGCCTGCTCGAGGCAATCGACGATTAACAGGATGATGAAATGAAATGAAAAAATTAGTGAAACACCATGAGGTACAGTTGTAGACTTACTATTTTCGTGTTTGTGTTTTAGTTATACAATGATCAAGTACTCAACCCTCCACCAGTGCCCAATCTCCACCACCAATGAACCCAGTCAGTAGCCCTCCCACCCCGCCCACCCCCCCACCCCGCCACCTCGATGGCAGGGCATTCCCTTCTGCTCTCTCTTTCCTTTAGGGGGTTGTGGTTTGCAATAGAGGTATTGAGTCTATAGTCTACTCTCAGCGCGCCTCTCGCATCCCAAGCGAGTCCTCCAAACCCCTTTACTTGGTGTTCCCACTTAAGTATTTTCTCATTTACAGTTCTTTCTCTCTTCCTCTTTCTTCTCTCTTCCTTCCCTCCCCTCCCGCCTCCCCTCCCCTCCCCTTCTCTTCTCTCTCTCTCTCTCTCTCCTCTCCATACCCAGCAGCAATGCCCCGGGTCTCTTCCTGGTTTTCTGCTGAGGCACCATGCAGTGCTGGGAATATGACTACATTCCGTCGCTTGCAAGGCAAGACCCTTATAACCCGGTCCTGGGGGAGATCCAGACCCAAAGATTGTTCCGGAACCAACTCCCCTTAAGTCTCCACCATGGTCACACTGCTCTGACATCGGGACCGCTAGCAGGTGGTTTTGATTACGTTCCACTTTATTTATTTATTTATTTATTTATTTATTTTTTGTAGGAGTACTGCCATTTATTCAGCCACTGATTAGCCGATTGAATTGTGCATGAACTCCACCTTACTTTTTTTTTTCATTTTTTATAATTTGATTACGTTCCACTTTAAACTTCCACTATATGACTTACCTTTAAACTTGTCACAGCCTCTTCCACTTTGTTTTCCAACTCACTGCAATAAAATGGCTTAAATATTTTCTCAATGTCTATACGAAAACAACAAGAACAAAGGTGGGGGTCAGGACTTTAAATGCCTTAAGAAGTTCCTAAAACAAAATACTCCTCAGGCTGGAGCACTAATTCGGCAGCAGGGCACTGGCCGTGCACATGGTCAACCCAGGTTCAATCCCCAGCATCCCACATTGTCCCCCAAGCACCTCCAAGAGCAATTTCGAGGGCAGAACCCTGAGCATTGCCAGGTATGCCCCCCCACCCCCCAAACAGATATCGTCACCAGGAAACCAGGCTCAAACCAGGCTCTGACGCCCCCGAGCACATTCCCAACATCTTCCTCGGGAAATGCAGCCGACAGGCCCCAAGAAAAGGCTCTCACCGGTGAAGAGGGGCCGGAGCATGGGGTCTCTCGTCCAGCACTCCTCCATGAGGTCTATGATCTGCCGGGGGCAGTACTCGATGATGTACTCCACGTCGGGCCTGTTTCCAGACTTAATGCCCAGGATCAGCTGGTCCTCGCAGATGGCATCTACAAAGCAAAGAGGAGATCAGGGTGGCACTGGCTAGGTGCTGGCCCAGTCCGGAAGGAAGAGGCAGCAGAGGGACCGTGCCACTCAGCTCGCTCCCTGGAGACGGCAGCCGGGGGACGACAGTCCCACGACAAGGAGCTGCCGTGTCTCACCGAGGAGACGGTCACAGTGAGGCAGTGGATCAAGCCGACAGCCTGCACCGGACCAGAGTCCAAAGACAAGCCGGCAGCTCTGGCTTTAAAGCGCCCTGCTGGGGCTGGAGGGGTAGCACAGCGGGTAGGGCGTTTGCCTTGCACGCGGCCGACCCAAGTTCGATTCCCAGCATCCCATAGGGTTCCCCCGACTACCGCCAGGAGTAATTCTTGAGTGCATGAGCCAGGAGTAACCCCTGAGCATTGCTGGGTGTGACCCCCAAAAGCAAAAATAAATAAATAAAATAAATGAAAATAAAACGCTCTGCTGAACACCGGCAACTTCCACGGAAGAGTGAGAATGGAGATCCAGGAAGGGCAAAGAAGTCCTGGTGACAGTGGCTGGGCGTGACGGGAACGCGGAGGAGGCAAGGCCGAGGCCAGAGAGACTCCCGGGATTCCAGGGCAGAGAAGCAGCAGGAGGGCTGGGCTGCAAGTTCCGGGAATCACGAATAGCGGCATATACCCGGCAAAAAGGGTGAGGTGAGGCCGTCGGGGGCCAGGGCACCCATACAGGTGAACTTGACCTGCAGGTCACAGGAGGTCTTGGAGGGACCTGAGACAGGTGAGGGAGGTGGTGGTTCTGCCTTTGAGGAGGCCCGTGTGGCCGGGGGACAAGAATCTGGAGTGACAGACAGACAGGCCGGCAGGACAGAGGAAAGCGGAGGGTTCCAGCGCCAGCGCGTGGCCGGGTTCCTGGGCCGTGAGTCCGACGGGCTGCAGGAGCTGAGAGGCGCGATGGAGTCTGAGCCAGCCTGAATGTTCTGGTCTGGCAACCGCGTACACAGACGCAGGTCGCTGGGCAGGGGCAGCGTGAGTGGGCAGCATGGGGACCTTTCCTTTCTTTCTTGTTTCGGCCACACCCAGGGCGCCCAGGACTTACTCCCGATTCTGCACTCGCAGGCCATATGGGGTGCCGAGAGGTGAAGCCCCTTCCCGCTGTGCCACCTCCGGCCCCCCGGGGAGCGTGCAGCAGGCAAAACTGTTGGAAGGACGCCGGCATAGCAGACCCTCCCGCGCTTAGGCTGGACCCAGCAAACAAGTGGACATCCAGGCCAGAGCCTTCCTGAGCACACGTAAGAGCCCCCTCGACACCCCCTGAATAAGAGGTAATCACTGGGGAGTAGGTGTCCTCTGCAGGGCGGCAGGGACGGCCTGTGGGCAGGAGGCATGTTCTCCGGCCCAGAAACCCTGGAACTTCCCGGCACCCCAGAGATGCATCCTGGAGGCCCTCGCTTGTCCTGGGACCCCCTGATTACTCAGCCTAGATCACTCATTCATTCCACCGAAACGCAGCGAGCACCAGCTGGGGCGAGAGCAGCGGATACAGCTGGCATGGCTGGGGTTGGCCGTCCCCTGAGGAAGGCCCGGGGAAAAAGCGGGCAATTACGATATTGCCAGGCTTGGGCTGGAGACAGAGAACAGCGGGCAGGACAGTGGGCAGGGCGTTTGCCCTGCACAAGGCCTCTCCGGCTGTGACCCCGGGAACCACAGGGTTGCCAAGCCCTGCCAGGAGCGGTTCCTGAGCAGAGATCCCAGAGGATGCCCTGAGCACTGCTGGGTGTGGCGGAATCCCTCACTAATACAACAAAAAATATCCTTTCTTGGGCACTCAGGGGGACTCGGGGTTCGTTCCTGGCTCTGAGCTCAGGGAGCACTCCTGGCGGGGCTCGGGAACCATCTGAAACGTCAGGACTCGAACCCAGGTCGGTATGTGCCGGACAAATCCCTTCCCCACTGGACTATCTCTCCAGCCCCAACGAGAACTCCCTTCACGGGTTTCCAGGAAGGCGTTATTTCGTTCAACGGTGTTGACTAAGGGCTCAAACCCCACCCTCAGAAAATCTTACTTTCGTAAGGCTCCTTGTTGGCAAAGATGGTCCAGAGCACGATGCCAAAGCTATACACGTCCGACTTCTCGGAGGGCTTGGCGTTGACGTCGTTCAGATGCTCGGGGGCCATGTAGTAGAGGGTGCCGCCGTTCTTCGGGGACCCGCGGGGGTTCCTGAACCTCTGCTTGTTGTTCTCCTCTTTGGTCAGCTTACTCCACGTCTTGAAAGAGGCAACGCCGAGGTCTGCGATCTGCAAAGAGACCGGGCTGATGGCATGGTCTGGGACAGAGCCGTCGAGTTTGGCTCTAAGCTTTGGGGCTCGGCCCGCGGAGGGGAGGTGTGGTGAACTCTCCACAGGGGGTTGCCGTCAGAGGTCGAGCACATGTCTCAAGAGTCTCACGGAAAAGTCTGTTTTCCCAGCCATCTGGAAAATCTCCTCTTTCAAGAACCGTGAAATTCAGGGAGCTCGGTTCTGAGGCGACGGAGCCAGGAAATGGGTTGTGGGAGGGACGAGAGAGAGGAGCAGACAGTTCTGCATCGGCAACAGCAAAGCACCCTGGGCTTCTGGGCCCGAGTTGTCCAGCCGCTTTCGGAGAAAGGAGGCCCTCACTTCCTCTTGGCGAAGGCAGACGGGAAGGAAGTCCTGCACCTTCTGTGTCCCCAGAGGATGACCAGGGGCCCGGGAACACAGCTTTCCAAGGGTCTCAGAGACAGACAGAGGAAAAGGAGAGTGGAGGTACTTGCAGTGAGCCGGCAGCCTGCACCGGAGAGAAGAGGGAAGGGAGGAAGGAGAAAGCCGCTGAGGAGGCAGAGAGCGAGCACCAAGGTAGTCGGAGAGCAAGGAGGAGGGCGAGGTCGTGGCCGAGGACAGCACGACGCAGCTCAGCAGAGTTCAGAGGCGACAGGCCTGCGATCCCTCTAGGAACCCAGGCCCTCTGGGCTGAGTTCTGGTTCGTGGTGGGTGAAACCCCCAGATTCTAGCCCAGAATGTTAGAGATTCTACAACATAAAGGAAGAATCTTCCTCTGGAGACCCGAGACTAAACATCTGCCTGAGGTCAGGGCGGGGTGGAAACTTCTGGCAGAGGGTCTGTGGGCGCAGGCCGAGTGCCCCCTCCCCCACCCCCACTGGGGCGACTTCCCCTTCCTGATTCTTGGCCAACCAGACACAAGGCTCGGCGATGTTCAATCCTGCGCTCGTGTGACTTGAACAACCCCCTTTACTGCCATGGGAAAGAGCTGAATTCGTGCCAAGAACAAAAATTGGGGCGGGAGGAGGGGGCAGGGGAGGATGACTCCTAAGCGATCCTTGGCCAACTGGGCTGGCCGGTCAGTGCTAGGGCCCAAGGATGCAGCCGCCCAGCCCTGCAGTGCCAGGGGAGCAGAGGCAGGTCAAAGTAAAGGGACAATGAACAACAGAAACCCATAGGGCCCCCGGCCCCACCGCCAGCAGTCAGAGAGCACACGAGGTGAGAGGCAGGGGCTAGAGTGGCCGCTCGGGCCCCCGGGAGCCCCGTGTGGGCTCTTACCTTGATGTGGAAGTCCCTGTCCACCAGGATGTTCTGCGGCTTCAGGTCCTTGTGTATCACACCTTCTCCGTGTAGGTAACACATCCCCTCGATGGTCTCCAGGATGACCCTCCCTTTCAGACAGAGGGGGATACTGACCTGAAAGGAGGCAGAGTCTATGAGACAGGAAACCTACGGGCCGGGGCAGAGTGCAGCTCACCCGGAGGGGGGGAGGGAGCTCGCCTTGCACGGGTGTGGCCCCAGCACGGGCAAAATAAAACTCGAGCAGGCCCAGTGGGTCTGGTTCGGGAGGGTTAGCTACAGGCCGACCTCCCTGCAGAACCTGGTAATGGAGGGTTCATTCTGAGGCTCCGGTTTCCTTGCCAACACGGCAACGAAAATGCTCTAAGAGTGAGTTCCTTGGGGCCGGAGCAATAGCACAGCGGGGAGGGCGTTTGCCTTGCACGCGCCCGACCCGGGTTCGATCCCCAGCATCCCCTAGGGTCCCCTGAGCACCGCCAGGAGTGATTTCTGAGTGCAGAGCCAGGAGGAACCCCTGAGCATTGCTGGGTGTGACCCAAAAAGAAAAAAAAAAGTAAGTTCCTTGAGAATCAAAACATTTTCATCATTATTCTTACTTTTGCTATGATGATAATGTGATTATTATTTAGGCTGTGTCCTGAGATCTCTATGGTGTGTGGAATGTTTCTTCAGTGCTCACAACTCCATAGTACAGTAGTATGTGCTACTCTGTATAAAACCTATGTGAGAACAGATGATGTGGGAACGTTTTAATGAAATGTACGGAGCAATGTTCAAACAATGCAAGAAAGTGAGCTCAGGTGGCACTGTGTCAAGAAAACGAGCAACCATGTGAATACACACTCAGATCCCATATGGTAAACCAACGCCCAGGTAAACTCAGTATCTACTTGGTGACTGGGCCTCTGGCGCTTAGTGGAATCTCGGTCGCTCTTTCCTGGAATTGCTTTCTAAAGGACGAAAAGTTGGCATGGACAATTCCCATTTCTGCGATGGTGCTTAGGCATTTGTGTTGCTCGACGTTGCAAAACTCACTGTGTGTGTGTGCGTGCATGCGTGCGTGTGTGTGGGGGGGCACGTGTGCATGTAGAGTCCCTAACTTAACCCACAGTCCCGAAAATGCATGTGCATGTAGGATATCGCCGAAGGGAAAACGAGTCTAAGTGAGGAGACCAGAGTCCCCAGCCGAGCCCACCGCCCTCCCTCTCCGCAGCCCGGCGGGTGGGCGCCTCCCCCAGCAGCCTCCCGCGGCCCCCCGCGGCCTGCACTCCTCGCGGACCCCGGCGCCGCCTCCGCCGGACACTCGGCCCGGTCCTCGCGGGAGGGAGGCGGCTCGGGGACAGCCCCCACCCCGCTCTCCGCCTCTCCCGACCGCCCCCCTCGGCCGCCGAGACCCTGCAGCCTCCTGAGTCATCGCCGGTGCCGGTGCCGCTGACCAGTGGCGACCCCCGCTAAGTGGGTGCCCCGCTGGGAGCCGTGGGGCGGACAGCGGCTGGCGGCCAGGCCCGACCCTCGGCCGGAGACGGGTCTGAGGGAAAGCAGCGGACACCGGGGGGAGGCAGCCCCCAGAGACCCCCAGGCGACTCCTGGGGGGACATCCCGCCCCGTGAGGGAGGCCCCGCCCCATAAGGGGAAGCCCCGCCCCGTGAGGGAGGCTCCGCCCCATGAGGGAGGCCCCGCCCAGTGAGGGGAAGCCCCGCCCCGTGAGAGGAAGCTCCGCCCCATGAGGAGGTCCCGCCCAGTGGGGGAGGCCCCGCCCCGCGAGGGGAAGCCCCAACCCATGAGGGAGGCTCCGCCCCGTGAGGGGAAGCCCCGCCCTGTGAGGGAGGCCCCGCCCCGTGAGGGGACACCCCGCCCTCTGAGAGAGGGCCCGCCCTGTGAGGGGAAGCCCCGCCCCATGAGGAGGTCCCGCCCAGTGGGGGAGGCCCCGCCCCGCGAGGGGAAGCCCCGCCCCGTGAGGGAGGCCCCACCCCGTGAGGGGAAACCCCGCCCTGTGAGAGGAAGCCCCGCCCCATGAGGAGGTCCCGCCCAGTAGGGGAGGCCCCGCCCCACGAGCGGAAGACCCAACCCATGAGGGAGGCCCCGCCCCGCGAGGGAGGCCCCGCCCCGTGAGCGAGGCCCCGCCCCGCGAGGGGAGCCCTGGCCTACCTGCGCCTGGAGCACTTGCATGAGGCTGCCCTTCTCCATGTACTCCATGACCAGGGAGTAGTCCCCCTCCTCGATGATGATGCCCAGCAGCCGCACCACGCGCTGGTGCTGCAGCCGGTGCATCATCTTGCCCTCCTCCAGGAGGGACTCGTTGTACCTGGAGGGAAAGGCCTCGCGTCAGGGCGGGCGGCCCCTTCCCACTACTTGCATAGGCTCCGTCAGAGCGGCCAAGCCCCCTGGCCCGCGCTGGGTCTCTGCGGGCACTCGCACTCGTCACAGCGCTCCTAAAGGCTGTTTCTCCTGCTCTGCTCCCCTGCCCCTTTCCGGTGCCGAATGCATCGCTGAGCAAAAGAAAGGGGCCCCTGAGCGCAGCGCAGGGGAGGGCGGGCTAAGATGCTTGCTGAGCACTCACAGCCAGGAGTGCTCCCTGAGCATCGGGCTGGGAGTGCTCCTTGGGCACAGAGCTGGAGTGCTCCCTGAGCACAAAGCCAGGACTGAGTCCTGGGCACAGAGCTGGAGTGCTCCCTGAGCACAAAGCCAGGAGTGAGCCCTGGGCACAGAGCTGGGGCGTGATCTCTCAGCACAGTCAGGAGTACTCTCTGAGCACAGAACCAGGAGTGCTCCCTAGCAAAGAGCCAGGAGTAATAATTCCTAGCAAGGCCAGGAGTGAGCCCTGAGCACAGAGCCAGGAGTGAGCCCTGGGCACTGCTACATGTTGTCCAAAAACATAACAGAAAGCAAAGAGAGCAACCAGGAGTTCTTTCTCAGCCACTCTGGTAAGAAGACAGGGCGACGTAAAATAACGCCACCAAAAGCTTCAAGGGTGGAGTGTGTGTGTTTGTGTGTTTGTGTGTGTGTGGGGGGGGGTGTTGATGACGGGGTGGCCCTCATCTAAAGGCAGAGTGATCAAGCCAGCACCCCATTCCCTGCCTCCTCCCTCAGCCGGGCGGTACCGGGACAGCAGCAACTGCACAGCTGCCGGCCACCCCGCGGGTGACAGACGGGAACCCTCCGAACTAAAGCCAGGTCTGGTCCCAAAGTCCGAACCCAAACCAGGCGAGAAGCGCCCTCCCCGCCGCCAGCTCACTCGGTGCGCTTGGGCCCGGTGTAGACTCTCTTCAGGATGACGAGCCCGTGGGATCGGTGCCGGCACAGGGACACCTTCCCGAAGCCGCCGCTGTCCAGGTACTGCTCATCCTGCAGGTCACTGGGCCTCATCTTGATGTCGTCCAAAGACATGGCTGGCTTCCCTCGGGAGGCGTCCAGCACCCCCACTGCCCCTCAGAGGTGCGTCCTGGGAAGAAAACCAGAATGGCGCTTCAGCACAGAGAGGCGCGACTTGCCGGTCCCGCCAGCGTCACTACGGCCCCCCTGCAACTGCCAAGTTCCCAAGGGTGCTCTGCTCGGGCGCAGATGGTTTGAGGCCGCACAGCCACCCCGACGGACGCGAGACCCGGGCTCAACACAACAGTCTAAGGAAGTGAAAATGGAGAAAGCAGGCCTGGCCAGATCGCTGCTGGACTGGGCCAGAGCCTCGCATGGAGGAGAACACAGGTAAATCCCCAGCACTGCACGGTCTCCTGAGCAGCACCGGGAGTGAGCTCTGAGCACAGAGCCGGGAGTCAGCCCTGAGCACAGAGCCGGGAGTGAGCCCTGAGCACAGAGCCAGGAGTGACCCTGAGCACAGAGACGGGAGTGAGCCCCAAGCACAGAGACAGGAGTCAGCCCTGAGCACAGAGCCGGGACTGAGCCCTGAGCACAGAGACAGGAGCACCAAAGGCTTTGGCCCAAAAACCAAAAAAAAAAAAAAAAAAAGGAAAAGAAAAAAGAAAAAAAAAGTGAAGAGAAAAGATATGGTATTGTCTTCTCATTTGTTATTCCAATTTACAAATAATGAAACTAAAATTCCTCCCCGCCCTGACCAGGGCTCCGGCAGCCGACGACCTCCAGGACCAGCCACCACCATGCTGAGACCACTCTCCGCACACATGAAGGTACTGGCAGAGGGACAAAGCCACGCGGGTTCCGGGGCTGAGATCTCCAAGCCTACTTGGATTGGGGCCGAGCATCCTCCACCCAGATCCTCCAAATTCCAGTAGGCGGGGGTCACACCCACCAACTGGCCCCCTGGCGCCGTGTAATCCCATCAGCGGCCAAGACTCTGAGACTATAAAAACCAGCTTTTGGAACCGCGCGGCCGCAAATGCGGCCTTATTATGACATCTTATTATGACATCTCATTCCTACTTTGACAAACTGGCAGGCTACCAAATGTAGCCTGCCCACACGGCAGAGTCTGGCAAACTCCCCGTGGCGTACCCAATATGCCAAATACCAGTAACAATGATGGGTCTCATTCTCCTAAAGAGCCTTGAATATAATCTCAGGGCTAGGATGAAGGAGACGTTGCTGGGGCCTGCTCGAGGCAATCGACGAATAACAGGATGATCTGTGAAACTAAAATTTGGAGCTAAATGGTCCTGCCAAAATGGCAAATTAAGAAACCAAACCGGGGCTGGAGTGAGAACACAGCGGGTAGGGCGTGGGCCTTGCACGTGGCCGACCCAGGTTCGATTCCCAGAATCCCATATGGTCCCCTGAGCACCGCCAGGAATAATTCCTGAGTGCATGAGCCAGGAGTAATCCCTGTGCATCGCCGGGTATGACCCAAAAAGCAAAAAAAAGAGACTAAACCTTCATCTTTTTACCCAAAGTTCCAGTAACTCACAAACACATGCTACCAAGGTTACAAATACCATTACAAACAATAATCTCTATTAAAAGCAAGCTAAAAAGGATCTCATATTAAAGCTGTGGTTGCCTACACTATCTGCTCGGGCAGAAACAAGGCCAATGTACGGACTAAACTCGTGCACAGCCTGAACTAGAAAGCTCAGGAAAACAGATGGCTCCACACTAATGACCCCCAAGTTGGTCCATCCTTTTGCAGACGTCTAAGATGCAAGTCAGCTCAGGGCTGACTCCCGGCTCTGTGCTCAGAGCTCACTCCCGGTGCTGCTCAGGAGACCGTGCAGTGCTGGGGATTTCCCTGTGTTCTCCTCCATGCGAGGCTCTGGCCCAGTCCAGCAGCGATCTGGCCAGGCCTGCTTTCTCCATTTTCACTTCCTTAGACTGTCGTGTTGAGCCCGGGTCTCGGGTCCGTCGGGGTGGCTGTGCGGCCTCAAACCATCTGCGCCCGAGCAGAGCACCCTTGGGAACTTGGCAGTTGCAGGGACCGTAGTGACCGGAGGCGCAGGGAGTGGGGCAGGGTCTGAACTCATCCACATTCCCAGCAAAGAAGATGCACCAACTCGAGTCAGAAAAGCTTCCTGAAGAGTAGGAGGGAGAAGCTCCCAGCTGGGGAGAACTAAGTACAGGACTAAACCAAAGTACGGGATCTCTGCACTAGGTCACTTAGCTAGGCGTGGGGCCACACCCAGCGGTACTAAGGGCTTACTTCTGGGGGGTCCAGAGGACCATTCAGAGTTCAGGGGCTCACACCAGGGTCAGCCGCCTGCATGCAAGCAAAGACTCCTCCGCTCCTTCTGGCAGAACTGCAGTTCTGGCCCCTTTGTGTAGATTCTTTTAAATAAAAATTGGGGGGCTGGAGCAATAGCACAGCGGGCAGGGCGTTTGCCTTGCACGCGGCGGACCCAAGGTCGAATCCCAGCATCCCATAGGGTCCCTTGAGCACCGCCAGGAGTAACTCCTGAGTGCATGAGCCAGGAGTAACTCCTATACATCGCCGGGTATGACTCAAAAAGCAAAAAATAAATAAATAAAATAAAAATTGGGTTATTTGTGTTTCTTATCAAGTGATGAGGTTGTCACCAAGAACATGGGGATTGCTCTTTGTTTTATGGAGTTCTCTGACTAATTTAGGGTCTTTTGTGTTGCTAAAATAAGACTAATACCATGTCTATTCTGTACTTCCACTTCTTAGGTTGGGGGGCGGGGCTGTTTTAGGAAAGATTATCTCTGCATCTCCTATGAGTCCCAGGCCTGAGGCAGAACTGACTGTCTTGGGAAATACTTTCTCAGCTAGGGGAAGAGCCCAGGAATCTCCAGGAACAGGAAGGGTTCATGAAAAGTGGCAGAGGGAAACTGAGGCTTCCTCTTTCATAGCCTGAGCACAGGAAGCTCTAGACTTCTTTCAAACCTGAAAATCCCATCAGTGGTATTAACATATTACTGACTAATAAGAAGCAAACAGCAATTTGCCACTTTGGAAGCTCCTATTTTTGCTACTCTCCTTGCTTCTTAGGAATATTCACAATCTGGAAAGTACAGCACAGCTCTGATGCTTCTTGGAGGGCAGATGCTGGAAAAAAGAACACTATATGTGGGGCCAGAGAGGTCATTAACACTGGGTGGGGGGGGTTAAGAAGTTTGCCCTGCACTTGGCCGACCAGATTTGCTCCTGACACCGCATGTAGTCAGTCCCCCAAGCACCACCAACAGTGACCCCTGAGCACAGAGCCAGGAGTAAGCCCTGAGCACTTCCAGGTACAGATTCTCCCCCACACCCCCACAACCAAAAAACAAACAAACAAACAAAAACATAAACCACTACTGCAGTTTTGTTGTAATGGTAACAATGGTGCACTCCAAATTTTATTTTAATTTTTTTTGCTTTTTGGGGTCACACCCTAAGATGCACAGGGGTCACTATGGGCTCTGCACTCAGGAATGACTCCTGGCAATGCTCAGGGGACCATATGGGATGCTGGGATTCGACCTCGGGTCCACCACGTGCAAGGCAAACACCCTCCCCGCTGGGCTATCACTCCAGCCCCTCCAAATCTTATTTTAAACAGGAGTACATCTCACTTCTCTTTTTTGCCCAGTCTCCCACATTTCTGATCGATCATAACTTCCTCCTATTGCCGTTTACAAGATGCTAACGGAGGAGGATCAATCACTTTGTGTTCCGAAGTCCGCTTGCAGCTTTGATTTTGCGTATCAATGGGAAAACGGGTGGTTGAAACACCCAAAATCCTCGAGGGCCTGGGGGAAGGCCCTCGGCCAAAAGTGCCAGCCTGCTGGGCTCGGCTGGAGCGGCAGAGCGGGTAGGGCTCCTGCCCGCACAGGGCTGACCCCCGGGCCTGATCCCCGTCATCCCATGGGGGGGTCCCTGAGCACTGTCAGGAGGAACCCCTGAGCATCTCCGGAAGTAGCACAAGTCACCACAACCAAACAGGCAAAAGAAAGTGCCTGCCTGGCGGCCGGCGTGAGGCGGAGTCCTAGCCTGGTCTCGCCCACCTGGCCGGGCCGGAGCAGGAGCTGCAGACCCCCGCAGACCCCCCAGTGCGAGTACCGCAGCCCGGACTGTGCCCAAGAGGGGAGGCCGGGGAGGCCCGTGCGTGCCGGAGGGGCGGCTGGGCACGCGGGGTCCGTCCCCCGTCCCGCTGGCCGCCGGGGCCCCCGGGTGGGGGCCGCTCCGGTCCTCGCGCCTGCTGCGGCCCGGGGAGGCGGCGGCGGCGGGACCCCCGCGGGACCCCCACGGGACGCACCACCGCGTCCCGGCCCGGGGCACTTCCGGAAGAGGCTCGGGCGCGCGGGCTCCCCGCGAGCTGCCCCTCGTGGCCACTAGGACCGGCCGTCGCGAGCAGGAAGGGCCGCCCCGCGTCGCCCCCCGGTGCCCCTCGGCCCGGGAGGCAGCGCGGGGTGCGGCGCGCGCCGCTCGGAGTTCCCGGGCCCGGCGCACCGCCCGACTTCCGGCAACGCCCGGGCCCGCCCCCGCCCGACTTCCGGGACCGCCCCGGCCCGCCCACAGGGGGCTCCCGGGAGCCAATCGACGCCGGCCGCCCCGCCTCGGCCCCGCCCCCCCGTGCCGGAAGCCCCGCCCCTCCCGGAAGCTCCGTCCCGACCCACCTGGAGGCGAGCGGGCCCGCGGCGGGCTTCGCTTTCGATTCCGCAGCCGCGACCCCCGGGCCGGGCGAGCGGGGGAGGCGCCGCGGCCGGGGGTCGAGGGGCGCCGGGGGCGTCGGGGGGACCCTCGGACAGCCCCGCCGCGGGGGCCGGGGCCGGACGTCCGAGCCCGAGGATGCCGCCTCGGGGGGGCAGGGCGGGGCCGGGCCGGGGCGCGGGAGCCCGCCCGGGCCGCAGAGTGGCCGCGCGCTGGACGCCCGCGCTGGGCACCCGCGCTGGGCACCCCTGGCCCGCGGCGATCCGGGCGGCCCGCGGGGCGTCCGCTGCCGAGCCGGGCTCCGAGGGAGTGAGCTCAGCGCCGGGGCGGGCGCGCGGGGCGTGGAGCTCGCGCCGCCCCGCCCCGCCCCCTCCCCTCCCGCGCGCGCGCGCCCCGGGCGCCCAGGTTTGCTGCCCGGGACCCCAGGGCCGAGGAGCCCCCCGGTGCGGGGGACGCGCGCGCGCGCGCGTGTGTGTTTCTAGCTAAGCATAGGCAAATTAGGGATCACCCCCCTCCCCCCATACACACACACACACACACACACACCAACCACAGAGAAAACAAGACTGAAAGAAGGCGGGCTGATCCCTGTCCCCACATGGGGTCCCCGCTAAGAATGATCCCCGAGCACCGCTGGGTCAGGCCCAGGCACCGAAAGATAACCAGGGGTGCAGCGATAGCAATAGGCGGGCTTATACCCCCACCCACCCACCCCAAATCCCACGAACGGGTAAAACCCAGCTCGCGGAAGCGCGGGAAATCTTATTATCTCGTTCTTATTCTGGAGAACCTGGCAGGCCACCAAAAGTATCCTGTCCACCTGGCAGAGTCTGGCAAACTTCCCGGGGTGTCCACCAAAAACCAGTCACAGTGGTGGGTCTCGTTTCCCCTGACCCTGAAAGAGCCTCGATTGTGGCACTTTGTAAAATCTCAGGGCTAGGACGAAGGAGGCGTCACTGGTGCCCGCTCGAGAGAATCAATGAACAAACGGATGACAGTGATACAGTGACAGCACAGCGGGGAGGGCGTGTGCCTTGCACGCGGCTGGGGTTCCACTCCCAGCACCCCATAGGGTCCCCCGAGCACCGCCAGGAGCCATTCCTGAGTGCATGAGCCAGGAGGAACCCCTGTGCGTCGCCGGGTGGGACCCCCACCCCCACCCCACCCCCAAAAATGCAGCTGAGCAAAGGACTGGCGGCACTTGGGAAGTTCTAGAAATAGAACCCCTCAAAGAAGTTTCTTCCAGGCTGTGGAGGGGTGGAAGGTGGGGGAGGGTGGGGTCCCCCAACACCCCCACCCCATACCTAAGTACAAGCAGTGCTGGCGTCGCGGGGATCCCCACCCCAACACAGCCAGGACTGCACAGCGGGCTGGAGACGCAGCGCTCAGCGCTCGGTTCGCGTTCAGCTGACCCCGGCTCCACCCCCAGCACCGCAAGAGGGTCTCCGGGCACCAGCAGGAGTTGATCGATCCCTGAGCACAGAGCCAGGAGCAAGCCCTGCGCACCGCCGGCTGTGCGCGCCCCCCCCCCCCAAACCAGACAAAACACACGCGCGCACTCACGCCCCCCTCCCGCCCCCAGCAAAGGGAAGGGAAGGAGAAACAAAGGGAAAAGGAGAAAGAAAATAAAGGTCTCCAAGCCCGAGGGAAAAGGAAAAGAAACGGAATCGCAGGGGTCGGCGGGGCAGCGCTGAATGAGCAGCGGACCCTGCCACTTACCTCGCTGGCGCAGGCGGGGCTGCAACTGAGCTCCGAGCACTGTGCGCCGCCTTACAAAGCGGCAAGAATGAATAGGGACTTACTTACGTACTTACTTATTGACTTACCGGCAGCTCCACAGCGCCCCGGGGTGCTGGTTGGACGCACCGCACCCGCCGAGGCCGAGCCCAGGAGGCCCGCGGCTTGAGCGCCCAAGGGGGACCCCGCAGGCGGGTGTTGCGCGCCCACCGCCTCTCTCTGGAGAGGAGCACACGCACCTTTGCCTGGGTCCGCGTCTCCCCACCCCCAGTCTTGAATGTTCCCTGCCTCCTTCTTCTTTTTTTTTTTTTTTTTGCTTTTTGGGTCACACCGGGCGATGCACAGGGGTCATTCCTGGCTCTGCACTCAGGAATGACCCCTGGCGATGTTCAGGGGACCCTATAGGATGCTGGGAATCGAACCCAGGTCGGCCGCGTGCAAGGCAAACACCCTACCGGCTGTGCTATCACTCCAGTCCCTTGTCTTCTTCAGGCCCCGGGGTCCCACAGGGCATGACCGATGACTGTTGAATGCACATTGCAGAGACCACAGCAACAAACACTCCCGGCTCCCGGCCACCGTCGGAAGTGTAGGCGCTGGGGCTTGTGACCCGCACCTGCAGCCCTCCTTACGGGTCTGAGTGCGCTGGGGTGGTCCCCAGGGAGGCAAAGGAGATGGAAGCCTGACCTGATAGTGAAAAAACGATCTGGGAATTCCGCAGCTGGGGAACTTCCCTCCCGCCAGCCGAGATGCCACTCTGCTCGGGTCCCGGCGTGTGAGCGCGCTGGGTGTGGCCCCCAGGGAGGCCCAGGAGATGGAAGCCTGACCTGATCGTGAAAAAAACGATCTGGGAATTCTGCAGCTGGGGAACATCCCTCCCGCCAGCCGAGACGCTGCCCTGCTCCGGAGCACAGAGCCGAGGTGTCGAGGGACCCTGCCAGCACCCCTCTCGGGTGCGCCCAGGGGACTCCGGGCGGAAAGGAACCTAAAAAGTCCCACTGCAGGTCGCTGCGGAAACGGGTTGGTCCCACCGCAGGACGCAGGATGAACTGCCGGTGTGCGTGCGAGCCCACATCCTTGGCAGTCTGTCACCCCTTGTCCGCGTGGCGTTGGATGCAGTGGCAGCAATAGGAACCCCTTAGCACGAGCCGGGGTGGCGACGTGGCGAGAGGCCGTGGTGGTCAGCTGGCCCCTCGGCAGCCCTGCCCACCTCCCCAAGGGCTGGACCCAAGGGCAGAGCTGCCTCTCCCTGGGACTCTGCAGGCGCAGCAGAAAGGGGCCCTTTCTGCGGGGTCCTGGTTGGGGGGTTCACGCCTTAGGAGATGCCTTGACCAGCGTCCTGGCTCACACCCGTAGGAGATGCTGTCGCGCGCCCAGTGGTGTCCAGCGGCCGCAAGCTGACCCGAGGATGGGCCAGCTGCTCCTGTGGCCGGAGCCGGGCTCGGAGCTCGCTCACACCGGGCCCTTTCCCCCACAGCCCCCTGCTCCGGAGACACCGGCCCAGGCCAGCGCTGCGGAACGGGCGCAGAGCGAGCGCCAGGGCCGGCGGAGGGAGGGCGCTGCCGGATCAGGGGACTGGCCGGGTCACCAGGGGGCAGCAGAGAATAGCTGTTAGTGGCCAGCGTTTCTGCCCTCAGGACTTGGAGCCAGCCCAATTCACGGTCCGCCCTGGCGCGTGGGTGTGATTAGGAAACATACCTCCCTTGTATATTTCTGGAAATCACAAAAAAAGGGGAATAAGGATGTTGGTCTCTTTTATTTTGTGCTGGGGGTGGAACCCAGGGCCTCAAGCATGCCAGGCCTAGTGTCAACACTGAGACACGTCCCTGGCCGGAGGCTGGACTGCGTCTGCGTTTGCCCACAGGACCGGGTCTGTGTGTCTGTGTGTCCGTGTCTGTCGCTGGCAGGTCAGTCCGTGGCTTTGAGTGAACCCCTGTGCTTGGTCTGCGCTGAGAATCAGTCCCAACAGGTCTGTCTCTCTGCTCTGTGCAGGTGGGGGGCAGCCAGCCCAGGGCTGGGGGCATGACCTGGCTTGTTGTCCGCTAAGGTGCTGGAGTGCTGTTCACCGTACAGTGCTCAGGGGTCCCTCCCAGCACTGCCCAGAGACCGTGTGGTTCTGGGGGCTCCCGTGTACAGAGCTTCTGCTACAGACCTGGGAGCCCTCTCCCCAACCCCCAAGTCAAGGTTTTATAGTTTTCCTTTTGGGTTATTGATTGCTAAAGGTAACAATGTCTAAATAAATGTCTTTCAAAACACACACACACACACACACACACACGCACGCACACACACAGATCTCTGGTCCTGACCCCAGTTCAAAAACAAAGGAAGCCCTGTGTCCTGCGGACAGCCACCTCGTGTTCTGGGGAGAGCCAACCTGTGTCCTTGGGACAGCCAACCTGTGTCCTGAAAACAGCCACCCCGTATTCTGGAGATGGCCACCCCATGTCCTTGGGGCCTTCCAGTGACCAGCCCTGGGTGGTTTGGGAGGCGGGTGTTTGAGAAACCGGCGACAATGTCCAGGGACCGGGACCAGATGTGGGGTCAGGGATCGAACCAGTACTGGCCACATCTGCACAAGGCAAGAGCTCTGCCTACTGCCCGTCCATCCTTCCTCTTTCCTCCGATGCTCAGGGCAGGTGCTCTGGGGCTCTGAATTCTGCAGATTCAAACTGAGGTTCGCAGGGTGCCCGGCCAGCTGCCTTAACCCCTTTACTAGCTCTCTGCACACACCCCCACCTCACTGATTTATTCTCATTTGAACGGTAAATTGAAATAAATTTTAATTGGCTACTCAATGAAAAAGAATTTATTTGGCTATTCAAAAAATTAACTGCAATGAAAACATTCATTGGCTATTCAAATTCATGGGGTGGGAGCGATAGCACAGCGGGGGTGGGGGGGCGTTCGCCTTTGCACACGGTTGATCCATGTTTGATCCCCAGCACCCCATATGGCCCTCTGAACACGGCCAGGGGTGATCCCTGAGTGCAGAGCCAGCAGCAAGCCCCACAACCCCCCGAATAAAAGGATGCTAAAAAAATTGACTCCAAGCCCAGCACTAAAGCACTAGCACGCAGCGTGAGAAGGAACTGCAGAGTCCAGGGCGAGAGAAACTCCACGGACCCAGGTCCGGTCCAGAGAAGGGCGTGGAGCCGACACTGCCCGCGGGGGCTGGAGGGGGCGGCAGGAAACGTGTCTGATTTTTCGCTGGTCTCCGGGTCGGACCCAGGGCAGTGCCCTGCCGCTGAGTGCCCAGGTGCCCCGAGCAAGGGCAGGAGAGAAGAGGCCGAGGACCCACCACCAGCACAGGAAACCGGGACAGGCAGGCAGTGGTGAAGTGGCCGCGACTGGGCACACTGTCCCAGGGCTGTCAGGGGCCGTCGGGGGCTACTGCCCGAAGTACCAGGCGGCCGTGCAGTCGATGGGCGCCTCCTCCCAGATGGCCGCCAGCCGCCGCGCCCACGCCGCCACCAGGCCCGCTCGCTCCTCCTGGGACGCATAGCCAGGGGCGAAGCTGATCTGCGGGGCCAGGACGTGGAAGCCGCAGAAGTGCAGGGTGCCGTGCTGCGGGCGGGCGAGGGGACAGACAGACAGACGCCAGGCTCGAGGGGGGCCCGCACGGACCTTCCCGGGGTCTCAGCGTGCAACAGCCAGCCTCGGCTTTGGGCGGCCAAAGCTCCCTGATTGTTGCTGTTTGGGGGCTACAGCCAGTGATGCTCAGGCTGACTCCTGGCTCTGTGCTCAGGGCTGACTCCCGGCTCTGTGCTCAGGGTTAACTCCTGGTGGTGTTCGGGGGCCCGTGTGGGATGCCGGGGCTTGAACCTGGGTCAGTTGTGTGCATGGCAGCCAGCCCAAAGGCTGGACTATGGCTCCGGCCCCTGGTTCTAAATTACCCCCACCGTGTTCCCTGGGCTCGGCCCAGCTGATTGCTTGGGTGTCACCCATGTCGGAGCCAGGGCGTCCTGCAGGAAGGCCGGGCCACCTCTCTGCACCCCCAAAGGCTGCCTGCTGCCCACCGGAACTGAACTGTATGACAGCACGAAGGGGGCTTCCTCGCCACCCGCCCCAGGACGTGGCAGCTGCTCCAGCTTCCCCAGGGGCTCTGACGTGACACCACGAACTGCCCAGGGGGTGTGCAGACAGCGGGGAGGGCCGGCCCCACACCCTGAGATCCTGAGGGGCTGGGTGGGCCCCGGGGAGGCACCAGACCCGAGGTCTGGGTGGGTCGCTCTCCCCTCCCGGGTCCCCATCTCACACACGGTGGCCCCTGGGGGGACGTTCTGCTCCCTCAGCCCACACTGGGTGTCGGGGGGCACCTTCTGCAGCGCTGCGGCCGGCCCCAGATGCCCAGCCCCGGGGTCCAGCAGCCCAGCCCAGGTGTTTGCCGCGGGGGAGCCGCGGGGGAGGGACGGGATGCAGGTGTGTGGGGTACCTGAATGGGCCACAGGTAGCAGCGAATGTCCCCGCTGATGCCGGTCTTGGAGTACATGTCGGCCGAGCCGCCCGTGGTGATGGAGAGCACGGCCCGTTTCCCCTGCGGGAGAGGTGAGGAGGGGAAACGCGGGTCGCACGCCTCGGGATGGACCAACGGGACCTGGAGTCGGGGGCCACCACGGTCCACAGGGAGGGCGGGACCCAGGGCCACAGAGAGCACCGCCAGCCCGAGGGAGGGGGCTTTGCCTCCGTCTCCCCACCCCTTGCTCGCAGCTCTCCTTGCCTGCCTGAACCCTCTGGGGCTTCGGAGCAGAACCACGGCATGAGGGCGCAGAGCCTGAAGATGCCGCCTCTCTGGGCCGGGCAGGCACCCCGCAGGGGTCAGCTCTGGCCCTGGGAGAAGAGCTCGGGGAGGGGCTGGCACAGCCTGGATGCCCCTCACGCCCGGCTCCAGACAGGCCCTTCCCGCTCCAGCTCTGGACACGGCAGAGGGGCCATCTCCTGGGCGGGACCAAAGCGGACTGTGAGGCTCGTCCCTCCTGTGGACACTCCCGTGGACGCTCTCCCTCCCAGGGACATTTCCAGGCTGCACACGCAGCAGGGGTCCCATGGGCATTTGCTGGGAAAGGGCAGCCTGGCAGGTGACCCCAGGAGACCCCCCATCCTCAGACTGCAGGGACCCTTTGGGGACCACATACCTTGAGAAATCCTGATTCAAAGAAACCCGGGAAGTCGAAGGCGAAGCCCTGGCACAGCACCCGGTCCATCCAGCCCTTCAGGATCGCGGGGAGACTGTACCAGTACAGGGGGAACTGCAGGTGGCACAGACACACAGACACAACGACACACAGACACATGCACACAGGGACACACAGACACACACACAGACACACACAGACACACACAGACACACGGACACGGAGACACACGGACACACATAGACACACAGACACACAGACACATAGACACGCAGACACATGGACACACAGACACATGGACACACAGACACACACACAGACACACACAGAGACACGCACACACAGACACATGGACACACATAGAACAGACACACAGACACATACAGACACACAAACAAACAGACACACAGACACACACAGACACGCAGACAGACACACAGACACAGACACACACACATGGACACACAGACACACAGACACAGACATGCACAGACACACATAGACACACAGATGGACAGATACACAGACACACAGACACAGACACACATAGACACACAGACACACAGACACACACACACAGACCAGGGTTTGTGTTCTGTGTGGCATGGACCCCGACTCCCTGCCCAGGTGTGGCGGGTGGGGGCCCTGCTAGGACGTCTCCTCCGTCCCTCCCTCCGGGGTGCAGCATGCCCAGGGCTGGGGTGGGGGGCTGGGAACCTGCTGGAAATGAGCGGGGGGAGGGGGGACCCTCTGACCAGCCTGTGGGGAGGGGTGATGGGTGGGGGCCTGAGGGCAGGCAGCGCGCAGGGTCCAGGACTCGGCTTCCCCGCTAGACACGGGCACATGTGCCAACACCCTCGGCAGGCCCACGGTGGGTGCTTCTGGAGCCCTGGACACCCAGTGGGGCTTGGCCGTGGCAGCGGGGCCGGGGCCAGGTGGCACCCACCTGGAAGATGACCAGGTCCGCGTCCCGCACCTTCTCCTGCTCCGCCGTGATGTCACGGCTCAGCGCCTTCTGCTGGTATGCCCGGGGAACCTCCAGCCCGTAGTTGAAGTGCTCGGGGTCAGAGAGGGGGCCTGTGGGGGCCGGGGCCAGCGGCTCTCAGGACTGTCACCGGCACACCCAAACACACCCGGGCAAGTCCCCCCACTGCCGACCCAGGCAGGAGCCACGTAGGGGTGGGCTGTGCGCGTGGATGGGTGCAGCCTGTGAGGGAGTCCCTGGCCTTGGCTGAGGCCACAGGGCACATGGCCAGCAACGCTCAAGAGACTCACTCCTGCCCCCGGAGGACAGCTCAGTGCAGAAGGCGTGTGTGGTCTCCCGAGTCTGCGGGAGGAAGCCTGGGCGCTGCCCCATGTGAGACCCCCACCCCCAAATCAGGGAAACTTATTTTGCAATTCATATTCCACACTGTGAGCTGATTTGTAATAGAACAGGCATTCTTTAAAACCAATAGAAGAGCTGGAGCGATAGCACAGAGGGGAGGGCGTTTGCCCTGCATGCGGCCGACCCGGTTCGATGCCCAGCATCCCATATGGTCCCCCGAGCACCGCCAGGAGTAAATCCTGAGTGCAGAGCCAGGAGGAACCCCTGTGCATCGCCAGGTGACCCAAAAAGAAAAAAAAAAAGAAAAAGACTGATGAGAAAAATGAGTAAGGAATAGAACATTTTCACAGGGATGAGAATGTTTAATATTTTGTTAAGTCATTAATATTATATAAAACATTTATAAATATTAAATAAATCAAAATATGTTTCAGCCTTTATTTGGGGGCATGGGACCATATCTGGCTGTGCTCAGGGATCACTGTTAGTTCTGTACTTGGGGCTCTCTCCTGGCTCTGTGCTCAGGGCTGACTCCTGGCTCTATGATCAGGGCTCACTCCTGGCTCTGTACACAGAGATTACTCCTGGCTCTGTGCTCGGGGGATCCTGTGTGGTGCTGGAAACCGAGCCCAGGTCGGCTGTATGCAAGGCCAAAGTACTAGCTTTGGAACTCCTGCGCGTCTTTCCAACTCTTCTAGTTTTTCAGAAAGAACCTCTCCTAAGATGCTTCGACATACCATGAGTATGATGGTATGACTTAATCACTTAACTTCCCGTTAGTCGTCGATTTGCTCGAGCGGGAGCCAATAACGTCTCCATTTGTCCCTGTCGCGTGCTAGTGTAGCCCAGTGGCATCTGTTCGCTCTGGGAACATGAAGAGCCTCAAACCGATCGTTCCTGATCTTGGCGAAGAAGTCTGACCATCTGGTAGGTGGGCGGCCACGCGGTCTCTTGACATCCCGTGGAATCCAGTCGGTAACAGCTCTAGTCCAGCGGTCGTCTTTAAATCTCATTACGTGACCAGCCCATCTGATTTTCGACACCTTGGCAAATGAGACAGCGTCCCTGATCCTTGATCGTCGACGGATGTCAGAACTCCGGATTCGTTCTCTCATTTGAGTGAAACGTGATATTCCAAGCATAGCTCTTTCTATTCTTCTTTGGGAGACCTGAATGGCGTTCTCATCTTGTTTGCGTAGGGCCCAGGTCTCTGAGGCAGATGTTAATGCAGGAAGAACAGTGGAATCAAAGAGATGTGCCCGATGATGGTATGATAATTTATTGATTCTCTTATTTTTCATCCCCTTCCTCCTTTTCTGGCTAAAGGACTGTGGTCCCCAGCCACTGGCGGCTGTTTCAAGCAGGCAATTTCAGCCCCAATCCTGGCACCCGTGGGGACACTTTGAAGATACACAATGTTCTTTTTTCTTTCTTTTTGAGCCACATCTGGCGATGCTCAGGGGTTACTCCTAGCTCATGCACTCAGGACTTACTCTACACAGTGCTCAGGTGACCCTATGGGATGCTGGGAACCGAACCCAGGTCGGCGATGTACAAGGCTAACGCCCTCCCCACTGTGCTATTGCTCCAGCCCCCAGATACACAACTTTCATTTGTCCCCGTGGCTCAGTCAAGCGGAGGGAACGAGGCAATGCTCCTGGTGGGGGCGTCAGATGGCTCACCGCACACCGCGTCACTCGGACCCGACTCACCCGTGAAATCCTTCCTCGTGGCCCTCGGCTCGAAGTCCATGGCGTACAAGTCGCTCACGGTGACCAGGCAGCCCTGTTTGCTCAGCTCCTCCACGGCCGCCTTCTTCAGGGCCGCGTTGAACGACCCGGGGTCCTGGTGCGCATAGACGATGAGCACTTTCTTCCCTACAGGAGAGTGGGGGAGCACTTCTCAGGGGCACAGTCCAAGGAGAAGGGGCCGGAGCGACTGAACGGTGGGGAGGGCGTTTGCCTGGCACGCGGTGGACCCAGGCTCCATCCCTGCACCCAGTAGGGTTCCCGAGCACCACTAGGAGTGATTCCCAAGCACAGAGACAGGAGGAGCCCCTGAGCATCACTCGGTGTGACCCAAAAAGAACAAAAAAACCAAGGAAAAGGAAGGCTCAGGGGCCAGAGTGATAGCACAGCGGGTAGGGCGTTTACCTTGCACGCTGCCAACCTGGGTTCGAACCCCAGCATCCCATATGGCCCCCCGAGCAACACCTGGAGTAATTCCTGAGCGCAAAGCCAGGAATAACACTTGCGCATCGCTGGGTGTGATCCAAAAAGAAAAAAAAAAAAAAAAAAAAGGGAAGCCTCAAAGCTCAGTCCTTGTGTCCCAGCCCTGGGCGCAAAGGAATCTGCCTCTGGGGCAGGAGAGGCAGGCGGGGCCGGCACAGCCAACCCAGGAAGGCCCACACCACACACTTGGCATGCGTGAGGCTCTGGGTCCCACCCCGGGTACCACAGGCCCCCTTTCCCCAGCTTTGCTAAAGTGGTCTCCAACACAGTGGAAAAAAATTTGTTTTTTTTTTTTTTGAGGGGGGGACAGGGCACAGAGATAGTCCAGCAGGCGAATACTGACCTGGGTCCAAGCTCCGGCACCACCTGTGGTCCCCTGAGCATCCCCAGGGGTGAGCTTCAAACCAAAAATAAACCAATAAGCAAAAGTACCCCCCAGTAGTGCTCAGGGCTGACTCCTGGCTCCGTGCCTTGGGGGTCACACCAGACGGTGCTCGGGGGACCCTGTACAACCCAAAGGCGGCCGCAAGCAGAAAGCCTCCTGGCGGCCGAGCTCTCTCTAGTCAACGCAGTTTCCTGTTTCGCTCCTTCTCAACAAAGGTACCTGTGGTGGCTTGAAGCCATTTCAAAGCCTTCTGTGCAGTGCAAAGGTCACACTCCAGAAAGGTCAACACCTGCACTGCGAGGCTCAGAACTGACGAGCTGGTAACGTCTACAGGGGGTGTCCTGGACAGTTGCCCGCTCCACAGACTCCTTATCCCATTTTGCCAGGAGAGACGGTTCCTTGGGGCTGGGGCCCGAGGTGCCAGGGACGCCGAGTATTCCCCAGGGCACAGCTGCGTCCCTAGCAGGCGACAGAGGCACTGAGACACCCACTCGGGGCTCCCACATGGCCCATCAGGCTGACCTGGAGCCCTTCAAAGAGGTCAGCCACGACCACTCGGGGCCTGTGTCAGGGGTCAGTGCCAAGATTGGGGCAGGCCAGGTCAGGGAGGCCAGTCTCAGGTCTAAGCTGACACCCAGAACACAGGAATGTGTACATGGGAACGTGTACACAACAAGGCCGGGCTGTGGGAAAGCGGGTCACATGTGTGAACACTGCCCAGTCTCTTATTTTTTTAATCAAATATAACATTCCCTTCAAGTATTATTGAAGTTTATTTTCAAACTGCTGGCGTCCCCCGCGGCTGATAGTCACCTGCCATGTTCTAGGGTCACCCAGTGGCCCAGGAGATCTGTCAGCGTGCTCCTCGGGCTGTGGGTACCGTCCTCAGAGGCCCGAATAATCTGGAAGAGAAACAGACACCGAGTGTGAATTTGCAGGGGAAAAAGCCGCCCTTTGGCAGGCCCAGGACTCACTCCCGGCTCTGTGCTCAGGGTCACGCCTGGGTGGTGCCAGGGATCGAACCAGGATCAGCCACGGACACGCCAAGCGCCGGAACACCAACGCTCTCTCTGGCCCCCGTGTCGCCCTGGGTCCAACCCGTGGCACTGCCATAAGGAGAAGAAAGGGGCGAGAGGCCAGGGAGGAGACACTGGCACGCATGCCACCAACCTAGCCTGAGTCCCGCACCACCAAGCTCAGATGATTCAAGCACTGCCAGGGGATACTGAGCACCGAGCCAGGAGTCGCCTCTGAGCACCCCTGTGTGGCCCTCCCCACCGCCCACCCTGTACCCCCCAATCCCCCTAGACAGGTCAAGGCAAGTCCTTCCCATCAGGGCCCTGGGAACTCAGCCCCTTCCAAGGCGCCCCTTGGAGCCGGGACCCCTCATCACTCAGCCGCCTTCCAGTCCAGCATACTGCAAACAACTCAGCGCTGATGTTGACAACCCTCCCAGGCCAAGGCGGGGAAAGGGTTAACGACCTTCCTCTGGGGCAGACATGGAAAGGCGGAATCTGGCCTGAGAGTCTGCAGGCAAACTGGCTCTCAACAAACTCAAGGTCTCCAGCCCCAGACAGCTTGCAGCTCCCAGGGCTGAATCAACGCCAAACATGCCCAGAGCCTGCTGCAGACAGGGAAACGTGACGGGAACCATCGCTTCGTTTAGGGGGTCTTCTGGGCACCAGGGGGGCCGGTCTGCAGCCCCGTCACCCAACTGCAAAGGAACCGGAGCCCTGGGCACACACGCCCCATCTCCCGCCTGAAAAGGGCAGCTGAGGCCTGGACGAGGCCAGCGTGGGGCGGGCAGGACAAAGGTCCAGGCGCTTCCTTCCACACCACTGAGGCCAAGGCCAGGCCAAGCCCCATGGCCCAGGCGGTCCTGCCCACAGAGGGTGCCCTGCCTGCCCCCATCATGCGGACCAGCCTTGAGTCAGGTGCAGTGCCAGAACACCGAGCACTGGAGCTCAAACAGGAGAAACAGCACCCCCCGGGCAAACATAACTGGGCAGCTTGGTGGGGGCCCGTGGGACTGGCCCTCCTCGGAGCGGACTGTGGGTGACTGTGGCCCCACCGGCCCCCTGGGCACCCTGTGAGCAGACGCAGAGACAGGACAGGAAGCTCCGTTCCCGTTTCCTTCCCCCTTTTCCCTTGGCTTTTAGGGGGCCACACCTGGGGGTGCTTGGGGGCCCTCTGCCCTAGGATCACTCCCAGTGGTGCAGGGGATCGACCAGGGGCCGCGGCCTGGGCACTAGGAGCCCACCCCATCCGAGCGTCTAGCCCTACTGACCCTTCCTTGGTGACAGTCTGACCGGGTCTCTGCCTCCATCCCGGAGAGTGAAGCTAAAGGTATCTGCTGGCACTGAGTCTTTGTTGCCAGCAGGGACTCAACAAGTGCTGAGCCACTGTCGCCATCTCATTAGACCCCCCACCTCTGGGGACTCCCCTAGGCCAGCACTGATCACCCCCACCCCAGCCAGCAGTGCACAAGCAGGCTAAGAGCAGGTGAGCATGAAACTGTACCTGGGGGACAGGGTGTGCAGAGGGGACAGTCGGAATGTACAAGCAGAGGGACCGGGCAAGGGTACCGCGGGGAGGGCGTCTGGTGTGGCTGACCAGGGCTCAATCCCCTGCAGCAGCTGTGGACTCCCGAGCCCCGCCAGGAGTGATCCCTGCATGCAGAGTCAGGAGCACGCCCTGAGCACTGCCAGGTGAGGCCCCACAACAAAAACAAAACATACCAGCAGAGAAAGCAGCGGCAAAATTGCAGAGTGGTGGGTCCTGGCAGTTCTGGGGGGCACAGGGGGGAATCATGAAGGCCCCGCCTTGCGCTTCCACCCTGCTTGGAGGGGTAGAGGGCAGGTTCCTCCGAGATGCAGAGTTTGGTGCCAGGGGTCCAGCCACCTGCAGTGCCAGGGTCAGGCAGCTGGCAGAGGAAGGGACAGGGCTGAGCGGGGAAACTGGTCCGGAGTGTTTGTACATCAGGGGAGCGGCGTGGCTGGCCCGTGGCTGAAAAATGTGGGTGGTCATGTTCAGAAAGAGACAAGGGCTGCAGTGGCCAGGGGAGGGCTCCGTTTATCAACCCAGAAGGACTCCACCTGGGCATCGCCCAACTGGGCAGAGCCAGAACCCAGGGCACAAAGGGCCCGAGACAAGCTGCGTGCTTGTAAGAAGGTTTTTTATCCAACACACACAATGGCTGGAATACCCCGGATTACTATGCTCCACAGTGTGTACAGGCATGTAGGCGTGTGTGTGTGTGTGTGTGTGTGTGTGTGTGTGTGTCTGTGGGTGCGTGTCACCCCAGGCCTGTTCAGCTGGCTAGCTCCGACTTGCTCCTCTGCTGGGTTCCTGCCCTAACTGTTGGCTCGCGACCTGAGAACGGGTCACTCAGAGGGTCCTGCCTCTGAGTTCCCAGCGTCTGTCCCTAATTTCCCCATTTGGGTAGATCAGAGAAGTCGGGGTGGGGGGGTATGTCTGCAGGGCCAAGAATTGGAGTCCTCCCTAACGGAAAACCACCGGAGCACCGGAAGCCAGAGGCTGCAGACCCAGGTGTTGGTGAGACGCTATCAGGGTCAACGCCTCACCCCTGCGGATGGGAAGACTCTCGTGCCCGGATTCCTGGGTCGGGCCCCAGACTTTTTGGTTCGGGTGAAGAACTTTTAGTACCTGGAGTAGGGCACATCCGCTCTCTCCCCAGCCTCACCATGCCTTGTTTGCCATCCTTGGCCCAGATCACATAGTTCAAGTGATAAAAATTCGAAGGAGTTTATTTTATTTTTTCTGCTTTTTTTGGGGGGGGTCACACCTGGCGATGCACAGGGGTCACTCCTGGCTCTGCACTCAGGAGTTACCCCTGGCGGTGCTCAGGGGACCATATGGGATGCTGGGAATCGAACCCGGGTCGGCCGCATGCAAGGCAAACGCCCTACTCGCTGTGCTATCACTCCAGCCCCCGAAGGGGTTTAATTTACAGATCTGATCATCTTCATGAAAAGAAACAAGTAGGAAGAGCCAGAGATGGAACCTGGGTCTGCTGCAGGCAAAGCATCCAGTGAGTTTCTCTCTCTCTCTCTCTCTCCCCTCTCACTCTCTCTCTGTCTCCCTCTCTCTCTCCTTCCCTCTTGTTCCCTCTCTCTCTCCCTCTCTCCCCTTCTCTCTCTCTCTCTCACTCCCCCTCTCTCTCCCTCTTTCTCCCTTTCTCTCTCCTTCCCTCTCTCCCTCCCCTTTTCTCTTTCTCTCTCTCTCCCTCTCTACCACACACACACACACACACACACACACACACACACTGTCTCTCTCTCACTCCCTCACTCACACTCTCTGCCTCTTTCTCTCACCCTTTCCCTCTCACACTTTCTCTTTCTCTCTGTTTCTCTTCTGCACACTCTCTGCTCTGTCTCTCTGTCGCCAGTTTTTGATTTCTTTGAATACACTTACATCACAAGCCTGGCAGAGGCCCTTGAGTTCTGTAACTGCCCGCGACTTCTGGTCCCCTGGTTGTAGGGCACTGGGGGGCTCATGGCCCAGCCAGGAAGCGAGAGACCCAACAGACAGACCTAGAGGTGCACAGCACTGGCCTGGCGCAGAGACTCTGCCCTGCTGGGGGGTTTGCAGCAGGAGCCCTCTGGGGGGAAGGGGAGCTGGGGGCTGCTGACCTGGCGCTGGGGGTCGGGTGTCCAGTCCCAACCAGGCCCAGAGGCCGTGGGCACTTTCACTTTATTTTCTAGGAAAAGCCCCTGTCCACGGGGCTCATCCTAAGAGCCTGTCCAGCCACCCACCTCGCCCACGCGGACGCCCACGCGTGACCCCGCGACTCCCCCTGCTCTGGGGGCACACGAGCTGCCTTGGGGGCGCACCTGGGGGTCTCTGCAGACCTCAGAGCTGCAGGACCGGGCAGGCTGCAGCCGTGCCCTTGGCCAAGGTCTCGCGGGGGTCATCGCAGTCGTGGGTCCCCCCCCGCGGCCTGGACCGGGACCCCCCCTTAGCACGCCTGGAGGGGCCCCGCGGAGACGCGAGCGGCGCGCGCCCGTGTCCACCTTCGCCCGCGCTGGCCCGCACCTGCGGATGGGCGGAGACCCCCGCGGCCTCCGGGCCCGGCTCCCCGGGCGTGCAGACACTCACCCGGGAGGACAGGCCGGCTTGGGAGAGCCCGGGAGGCCGCGGCGGGCTTCCGGACACAGGGGCGCGCACGGGCACTGCGGCTGCGCTGCGGCCGGGTCAAGCGCAGACTGGACAGCCCGCGCCCGTGGCCCTGGCCCCGCCGAGGCCCCGCCTACCCCGTCCGCCCGCCAATCCACAGCGCGCTTGGCCTTGACCACGCCCCGAGACACGCCCACTGCGTCTGTCCGCCAACCCGCTGCGCGCTCGGCCTTGACAACGCCTGTAGACACGCCCACCGCGTCTGTCCGCCAATCCGCGGCGCGCCCGCTCTCGACCCCGCCCTCAGATACACCCACCCACTTCCCTGTGGGAGGTCCTATCCGCGTCAGGTCGTGAACCCCACCCCACTTACGTCCAGTCCCTTTTTTTTTTTTTTTAAATTTTTATTAGTGAAACACCATGAGGTACGGTTGTAGATTTACAAATTTTTGTGCTTGGGTTTCGATTATACAATGATCAAATACCCATCCCTCCACCAGTGCCCATTTTCCACCCCCATGGATAATATCCCTCCCACCCCCATCCCCCGAATCCCACCCTGCCTATGTGGCAGGGCATTCCCTTTTGTTCTCTCTCTCTCCTTTTGGGTGTTGTGGTTTGCAAAAGACGCATTGAGTGGCAAACATGTTCAGTCCATAGTCTACTTTCAACATAGTCTACTTTAGAGGCTCTTTTTTTTTTCCCTTTTTTTCTTATTTTTATTTATTTTTTCTTTTTGGGTCACACCCAGCGATGCTCAGGGGTTACTCCTGGCTCTGCACTCAGGAATTACTCCTGGCGGTGCTCGGGGGACCATGTGGGATGCTGGGATTTGAACCCGGGTTGACCACGTGCAAGGTAAAGGCCCTACCCGCCGCTGTGCTATGGCTTCAGTCCCTATTTTTTTTATTTAAAAAAATTTTTTTTTTTCTTTTTGGGTACAGATTCTCCCCCACCCCACCACCACAAAAAAAAAAAAAAACCTATAAAACCAAAATGCAGTTTTGTCATAATGTAACAATGGTCACCGTCACTGTTACTGTCCTCCCATTGTTCATTGGTTTGCTCGAGCAGGCCCAGTAATGTCTCCATCATGAGACTCGGTGTTACTGTGTTTGGCATATTGAATACATCACAGGTAGCTTGCCAGGCTTTGCCGTGTGGGCGAGATACTCTCGGCAGCTTCCCGGGCTCTCCGAGAGGGGTGGAGGAATCGAACCAGACTTGGCCACGCTGGCCGCGTGCAAGGCAAACGCCCCACCGCTGTGCTGTCCCTCAAGCCCAAAATAAAGAATATAACTAGAAAAAAATACGACTACAAAGCAGAACCAATATATCATTTATTTGCCAAATATTCATGCGATACTGATCCTTTTTCCCAGAACTCAACTGCTATATTTTCATCTTCCCTTTATAAGACCTGGAGCGATAGCACAGTGGTAGGGCGTTCGCCTTACAAGCGGCCAACATGGCCGACCCGAGTTCGATTCCTCCGCCCCTCTCGGAGAGCCCGGCAAGCTACCGAGAGTATCCGATATGCCAGACACAGTAACAACAGAGTCTCCGATGGAGACGTTACTGGGCCCGCTCGAGCAGATCGACGATCAACGGGAGGGCCTTTACCTTTACCTTTACCCTTGATAAGACCTGAAACATTTCATGGTTCAAACAAAACTCTTCACCTAACTCCTTGAAATGTTCCTCTCCGGTATTTTCCATCTCCCAGGCATCACTGTCAAATTCAAGGCATATAATGGGTGCCTTTGATTCTCCATCCATGATTCAACTTCTTTTTTTCCTTCACTACCAATCCTTTGCTATTATTTTACTTCGTTTCATCTCCACCCTCATACAAGATGTCAGCAGTCACTCACTGAACTAACAACTGCTCATCGGTAGCCCTGCTCCCATCCCTGTGTCCACAGAAGACCCAAGTGATAAATACTAAACAGAAATAAGATTAAACCTCTTGGGGCTGGAGAGATAGCACAGCAGGTAGGGCGTTTGCCTTGCACGCCGCCGACCCAGGCTCGATTCCCAGGGTCCCATATGGTCCCCTGAGCACCGCCAGGAGTGATTCCTGAGTGCAGAGCCAGGAGTAAACCCCTGTGCATCACCGGGTGTGACCCAAAAAAAAAAAAAAAAGATTAAACCTCTTTACTGCCAACACTTCCAACTTAGGATATAATATAAATTCCTTTCCTTTGCCTCGAGGTCTTCCCTATATCCCAGGCTTACTTTCCTAGACCTACCTAAAGCATACCTTTATAACTCACCGCACCAGTCACATGGGTCAATCTTCCTTCACAAATACACAAACTCTATGGTGCACTCCCAATTTTATTTTTTTTATTTTTATTTATTTATTTATTTATTTATTTGCTTTTTGGGTCACACCCAGCAATGCACAGGGATTACTCCTAGCTCTGCACACAGGAATTACCCCTGGCCGTGCTCAGGGGACCATATGGGATGCTGGGACTCGAACTCGGGTCAGCCGCGTGCAAGGCAAACGCCCTATCCACTGTGCTATCACTCCAGCCCTCCAGTTTTATTTTAAACAGGAGTACACTTCACAATTCTTGCCCAGTCTCCCACCTTTCTGATTGATCATGACTTCCTCCAGTTCCTGGAAGCATAATCTACTGTATACTTTCAATAAAGACTAACTGCACTTACTTTCTTGCAAATTCTCAGACACAGACTTACTTTCAAGACTGACTGACTGCACTTACTGACTTGCACTGACTGAGTGACTTACAAATTTCCTTGCACATTCTCAGACACTTGCTGACTTACTGGCTGTGGTCAGCTACAGTGCTGGAGTGCTGCTCACCGTACAGTGCTCAGGTGTCCCTCCCAGCACTGCCCGGAGACCGTGTGGTTCTGGGGCTCCTGTGTACAGAGCTTGTGCTCCAGACCTGTGAGCCATCTCCCCAATCCACAGCTCAAGGTTAAATCAGGTTCATTGATTGCTAAAGGTAACAGTGTCTAAATAAATGTCTTTGAGACACACACACACCATCAAATACACACATACACACATACACCACACACACACACACACACACACACACACACACACAGATCTCTGGTCCCGACCCCACTTCAAAAAGAAAAGGAAACCCTGTCCTGGCGAAAGCCACCCTGTATCCTGGGGACAGCCAACCTGTGTCCTGGGGACAGTCACCCCATGTCCTGGGGATGGTCACTCTGTGTTCCGGGGACAGCTACCCTGTGTTCTGGGGACGGCTGCCCCATGTTCTAGAGACATTTCCGTGACTGGCCCTGGGTGGTTTGGGGGAGGGAGGGTTTGAGACACCACCGACAGTGCTCAGAGGTCATTCCTGGTGGTGCTCGGGGCCATATGTGGTGTCGGGGATCGAGCCGGTATTGGCCACATCTGCGCAAGGCAAGAGCTCTGCCTACTGCCCGTCCATCCTTCCTCTTTCCTCCGATGCTCAGGGCAGGTGCTCTGGGGCTCTGAATTCTGCAGATTCAAACTGAGGTTCGCAGGGTGCCCGGCCAGCTGCCTTAACCCCTTTACTAGCTCTCTGCACACACCCCCACCTCACTGATTTATTCTCATTTGAACGGTAAATTGAAATAAATTTTAATTGGCTACTCAATGAAAAAGAATTTATTTGGCTATTCAAAAAATTAACTGCAATGGAAACATTCATTGGCTATTCAAATTCATGGGGTGGGAGTGATAGCACAGCGGGGGGGGGGGCATTCGCCTTTGCACACGGCTGATCCATGTTTGATCCCCGGCACCCCATATGGCCCCCTGAACATGGCCAGGGGAGATCCCTGAGTGCAGAGCCAGCAGCAAGCCCCACAACCTCCCTAAAAAAATTGACTCCAAGCCCGGCACTAAAGCACTAGCACGCAGCGTGAGAAGGAACAGCAGAGTCCAGGGCGAGAGAAACTCCACGGACCCAGGTCCGGTCCAGAGAAGGGCGTGGAGCTGACACTGCCCGCGGGGGCTGGAGGGGGCGGCAGGAAACGTGTCTGATTTTTCGCTGGTCTCCGGGTCAGACCCAGGGCAGTGCCCAGCCGCTGAGGGCACCAGGCGCCCCGAGCAAGGGTGTGAGAGAAGGGGAGGGTGACTGGGGACCCGCCACCAGCACAGGAAACCAGGACAGGTGGGCAGTGGTGAAGTGGCCGCAACTGGGCACAGTTTCCGGGGCCGTCGGGGGCTACTGCCCGAAGTACCAGGCGGCCGTGCAGTCGATGGGTGCCTCCTCCCAGATGGCCGCCAGCCGCCGCACCCACGCCGCCACCATGCCCTCTCTCTCCTCCTGGGATACCCGGTCAGGGGCGAAGCTGATCTGCGGGGCCAGGATCTGGAAGCCGCAGAAGTGCAGGGTGCCGTGCTGCGGGCGGCAAGGGGACAGACAGACAGATGCCAGTCTCGAGAGGGGGCCGCACGAACCTTCCCAGGGCTTCCATGTGCCAGCAGTTCATGGCTTTCGGAGGTCAAAGCCCAGCGATGCTCAGGGCTGACTCCTGTCTCTGTGATCAGGACTGACTCCTGGCTCTGTGCTCAGGGTTCACTCCTGGTGGTGCTCAGGGCTGACTCCTGACTCTGTGCTCAGGACTGACTCCTGGCTCTGTGCTCAGGGATCACCCCTGGGAATGCTCAGGACTGACCCCTGGATCTGTGCTTAGGGACTGTTCCTGGTGGTGCTGGGGGGGACCACGTGGGATGCTGGGGCTTGAACCTGGGTCAGTTGCGTGCACGGCAGATGCCCCAAAGGCTGGACTATCCCTCTGACCCCTAGTTCCGAGCTACCTTGGACGTGCTCCCTGGGCTCCTCCCGGCTGGTTGCTGGGGAGTCACCCGTGTTGGAGCCGGGACAGAAGCGGGGCGTCCTGCAGGAAGGCCGGGCCACCTCTCTGCACCCCCAAAGGCTGCCTGCTGCCCTCCGGAACTTCACTGTATGACAGCACGAAGGGGGCTTCCTCGCCACCCGCCCCAGGACGCGGCAGCTGCTCCAGCTTCCCCCAGGGCTCCGATGTGACACCATGGACTGCCAGGTGCCGCAGACTGCCACCGCGGCCACTCGGGAGGGCTGACCCCATGCCCTGAGCTCCTGAGGGGCTGGGTGGGCCCCGGG